CCCCCCCCCAAATCCCACCAGCCCCCCCTACCTTATAAAAAATGAACGGTCCCTTAGTGAAGCAACAGGGATCTTATTCTACCGAATTCAAAAGAATTTTCCTTTCCCTCGCGTCCTTCTTTATTTCCTTACTAGGCTAAGAAGGAAATTTATGAGCTTATTTCAACTGAGCACATGACATGATTATGCTAACCTGTCGACGTCGCGCAAGCCAGCTAAACAAAGCTGCATGTTTTCTCCGATAAGGTCCCAAGACCAATACATCATCGGAAATGGCCCGTACCTGGAATAATAAGGCAATACTGTCCTCAATTTAGCTACTTGAGCTTACATCCTTATTCATGAGGATATGTTTTACAAGAGTTTCGTGACTGAAATTTGCGAAATTTTAAGAATATTTCAACAAGAAAGAAAGAGGCTAAGAATTTGAAAAGAACAATCTTTTTTTGTGGTGAAAATTACAAAAAAATTGTTATAAACCGTAAAAAATTTGTCCTTTCTCCACCCGGCAAAACTAGCCAAAAAAAAAAGCACTAGTCGTATGTCCGATGCTAATAACATTTCCGCAAGAAGTTATGTGTGTCTTAACAGGCTTTATTGCCTGTAATCAGGCTCCAAATAACAATATTCACAAGAATATTATCAGCCTAAAATCGGCAAAAAAAACCAAAATATATTAACAAGAATACCTGTATGCAGCCTTGGACGAGAAACCAGTATTTTTACATATAAAAAAAGAGTGTTCGTCTGAAAATAAAATTTATTTCAGTGCTAAGTTGCCGGCGGAATTTCCCTATAGGATAATCATTTTAGGTCGTGTCATTGGTGTAAGTATATCAAAATATATAGTTTCTAAACCTGCCAGATGCAAAATATTGATAGCGCGTGTGATATATGGTAAGTGTTGCAAATATAAGAGAAATACGTTAACATTGAACGCGATTTCTTCTATTGGAAAAACGCTTAAAGAGAAAAGAAACGTTTGCTCAGCAATATAAATGCCTGGAAATGTTTCATCTTCTGAAGGTATCGCCTTGTTGGAATGGTGACTAAATTCGACATACCTTTAATTTCTTGTTATGATTTCTGTATTTAAATCTGGTGAATGTCTAAATATAAAAACAGGGTTGTTGCTGTTATTATTTCTCACCGTTCTAGAAACGATCTCCATGGATATAGGTTTCGTGCGAGTACTTCCTTTCCTTCTAGAGGCTCCGGCAATGAAATCTGAGCACTGTATATAGACGGTCTATGAAGAGACAAAATCAGTCAATCAATCAGTCAATCAATCAATCAATCAATCAATCAATCAATCAATCAATCAATCAATCAATCAATCAATCAGTCAATCAAACAAACAAACAAACAAACAAACAAACACAAATTTAGGAAACAACTCCGCACCACGGTCAAACCAAAGGTAATATTGAAGTCAAATAAATTTACGCCAAATCCCTTTTTCACTTCAGGTTTTTTTAATTATGGAATTCAGCTTTAGGTAAATAGTAGACTTTGAATAGCCCACCTTGGAAGGTTGCTCAGGTTCTGAAGAGCAAACTGCATGTTTTCTGTAATGCTCTGTTAGGAAAAAAAGATTGATTCAAAACGTGATGTAATCTGATAAATACCTGAGTCATACAGCAGTTTTCAATCGAATGTCTCTAAACCAGAACCAAAGTTATCAGTCTGGTCAATCACAACGCACACAGACAATCTAGTGAGGTCAGTGAACCAATCAAAACTCGAAGCAAGTACACGCAGCTGAGCGTGACGTGTACGAGCGAGTCATGAGTGGTTTTAGTTTTACTTCTGATTGGATGACAAAGTGGTGCGAATTTTTTAACCAATCGGTTAGCGTAAAAATGCAAAGCCAAAGCAAATGCCAATTTCTTTCGAAAGCCAAGTGAAAACTGCTCTAAACGTACATACACTGTGAAGTAATCAGAATGGTGATTTAAGTATCGCAATTTCCAATTTGCCACGATAGTTAATTGATTCTCTTATTGGTTGCAGTTCCTACTCGCATGTACACATTCATATAAACGTTCTAACGGTGTTCTTACCCTGTAGGCAGCCTCGTTTCCAGTCGACAGGAACGTGTCTCTAACCGAGTGGCTGATGGAAATATCAAACTCCAGGAACATATTATCTCGGCGCTTGGCCAGAAAGTCTGCAACCTAGAGCGAGAAAACGGGAACTCAGTAGTCGATATTCATCGCTAAAAAGTATCAAAGAGAAGAGACAAATTAAGGAAGCTAATTTTATCCGTCTATACTACGTTGACAAAAGTATCCAAGAGGAAAGCAGTCTGAAACAATTGCTTTAATATTTATTTCAGTGTGACGACATGGAGACAAGACATCTCTCTTATGCGAGTTGACCTGTAACCTTCAATAATCTAACAATTTCAATGAAAAGAACAAACAACGAAGCGTAGGAAAAATAATTAGCTTCGTCCTAACTTATCTATTGGGTGACCTTTTTGGACATTTTAACGGTCATTTTTAACATTCCTCACGTATTACACGTGAGTGAGGGATGGCCAAGGTGCCTTAGTCTCTAATGACGTGTAACAACGACAACCACAATCACGACATAAGAAGGAGCCTGAGAAAAGGAGTTTGAATAAAAAGACATTAGGTCAGCCAGTTTCCACGCGAACGTTGTCAACAGTAAATCAAAACAGTCTCGATTTTTTTTTTATTCTTATTCTATTTTTTGTCATTATTATAACCCTCAAATGTTCTAAAAGAACGTTGACCGTACGCCATCAGGCATCTTCTGCTCCGTTCTTTCACAAACGCAATTGCTTACCTCTTGAGGGTCATGTGGTTTTTCTAGATGGTTGATCTGTTTCTGAATCTCTCGTAACTCAGCACCTTTAAAGCGAACCAGCGTATTAGTGAATTCCCATTGAGAGCAATGCTAGTGATAGCCTTCACCAGGCGTTCAGTTAGCTGGGGCACAGCGCGAAAAAACAGCTGAGCGAAATAAATTTTTCGTTTGCCATTTTTCGCGCGGTGCTCCAACTAATTGAGTGTAATGTGTGTTTTTGGCAACAGGTCAACTCTGCCGTATGACAACGTAAGACATCCGAGTTTGTTCTAACTCTACAAGGCTAAAAACATACTATCATCTCTTCCATACTTTAACAACTTTAAGCTTTTTAACACTTACCAATGCCCTCAGTGCCTCCCCAGTCAGCGGTTACCCCTGAAAACTCAAGCTTCTGCGATCCCAATCGGGCATGAGAGCTACCAAGTCGAGCATGCGCACACAGATACTGACAGATGTCGTGAAGTGATGAAATAAGTTGCTGTAGAAACAAATAAAGTTACTCGTCATAAGAATTACAACTTTATAAAAACCAAGGGGAAAATGTGAAAAACTATTTTTTAAACGTTAAGGATGTCTCACCAGCATAACTTTGAGAGCAGCGTTTCTTTGGGCTCCTTTCATTTTGGGAAACATTTTTAGAATCTGAAATTAAAAACAAAACAAACTGAAACCACTACAAAGAAGAACTTCCACAATCGCTAGGTAGACTTTAAGCTAAGGGGTTTTTAGCATAAAATGAACGCTTACCTGCGCTTAACACAAGTGTTTAGGATTCGACTGACTCTAAAAGCGTGGCTAAACTGGGAAGCATACGTTTCGGAAGCAAAATTTGTGTCAGCGAAGCAAATATGTTTTTGACTTGTGGCAAAAACAATTTTCGTTTTCGAGCAGCAATTGTTTTTTTTTTTTTTGCGCGGCTAAACTGGGAACCAGTTGCCTCCGCTACAATGTTTCCTAGTTTCGGCAGGCCTTAATAGTTCTTGTTCCCAAGATTCAACGACTACACTGACCTTGTATGTAAGTTACTAATGTCTGGAATCTTACCTCGGTGTAGTGAGGAATGAACCAAAGATTTAACACGCTTTTCCCGTCAGAAGACAACAATCTGCGAGGTCGAGGCTTAAAATGCCTGGAACAGAAAAACAACAACAGATGTGTAAGTAAAAAAGTAATTGAATGTGGAATGAAGACACATTTCAGGGAGTAGTATTGATGTTTCCTTGTGAGACTCTTCTATGCGGCCTACAAGGTCGCCAAAATAAATGGACAGCAAAAATATATCAATGATACTTCACACTGAAATGTCTGATAAAAGACTTACAGCCAAAACATTTGTTGACCGTAAACCAGACTCTGATCTGTGTTTCGCCTTCTGCGCCGTGAAGAGAATTAGAGAGACTTAAAATAAACTTGTTAAACTATTTCCTAAAGAACAAATATCTTGGATTATAAGTTGTCAAGATGCCCATATATTGTTACGAAGTCCTTGTTATCTGTCTTCCTCACATAACTTGGCAGGAGTCCTCCAATGTCTTACAAAGCGCGCGGTGCAAAACCTCAGTTTCCTTAGCTGTTAAAAGGCATTTCGTTGACAGTATGTTGAATATTACGACAATATTGATCAATATTGCGGACTACCGTCTGATAATTGTTCAATATGTGGGTATGTAGTTTTATTGTTCGCTACGTAATAGAGTTGAACAAATGCAACATACTTTGGATCGGAAATTACTTTGTCATCTTCTTCAGTCTTCTTCTCGTCTTCTTCACCAATAACAAAATGAGCATCTCTAAAACAAACAATAAGATAGAGTTTAATTAATACAAGGTCTTTCCTTTACAAAATGCTAACAAAGTTGCTCAACCTCTTCTTTTCATAAGCTCGAGATAATGTAATTGTTAAACAAGCACTTCTCTTAATGCTTGTATAACATTTCTCAATTATCTGACAATCTTATATTTTTTTCTTAACCTTTCTGCTCGGTAGTCTACCCCTAGGCTGACGTTGCAATTTAGCCGCGTTTCTTTTGGTTGACGTGTTGCTCAGATAACACTTTGAAATTATGAAAAAAGCACAACTTGAACATTACATCCCTAAAGGAATACGGGGTTTATAAAATTCCGTAGCGGGACCACTTTTATGAATTACATTTCAGCTACATGTATATGAGAAATTGACCATTGGAATATATTTAAACGTACCCTGTCTTGGACCATTTTTATGCATTACAATTCAGCTACATGTAGTTTTTTTGTTTATAATGGTCAATGCGCTTAGCTACACCTAGTTAGTTCACAAACATGCCACTTAAACTGAAAGAAACAAATATATCAACTAAACATAATAGGCTTAAAAATCCCAACTGGTGGGAGGCAGACCAGTTGGCTATTTACAAGCATAGCCGAGAAGTTGAATCAGGGTCTACCGAGAAACAACTTAATGGTCAGTGCGGGACTTGAACCCGCGACCTCCGGATTTCAATTCCGGCGTCCTAACCACTCTGCCACGCTGCCTACACTAAACATGTATATGAAAAATTGACCAGTGGAATATGTTTACGTACCTTGTCGTTGGAAAATCCGCCATTAGATTCAGCAAACTAGCGCAGTAAGCAATCATCTGTGAGGGTACAAACAGTGTTTTTTGTCAATAACGCCAAGGGTTCAAATCAAACCGAAATCTGTTTACAGACTTGAGAAATACCTGAGATTGCAAAGAATACTGGGATACCCTCTTGTGCAGGTTCTCACAGAAATCCGTGACTAGCTTTCTAAAGAAGAAAACAGAGAAAGAAAATAAACACTACACTAGAAATTTAGTTAGGAAGCCTCCAACATGAGGGCAGTTAAAGACCACAGCAAACGACTGATGTACTAAGATTCTGTTAACATTGTCTTTGTAATGTATAAAATTATTGATTCAATTCAGTCCTTGAGCTACTGTACTGTATTTTAATTCCAAGCTTTCGCCGTTCTACGGCATCATCAGGGAGTGAAAGAAAATATTCCATAGAGCGTGATATAAAAGTGGTGTAGGTGACGCGAATGATAGAACATATTAAGGACAATGAGTGTAAATGTGGTGATGGAAGTATACGATAATATGGACAATAGCTAATGAGCATAATAAGGCGAAAGCTTGAAATTAAAATACAGTACAGTAACTCAAGGCCTCAATTGAATCAATATATTTATCCATTCCTAAATGCTACTGAAGGACAACTTCAAACGTTTATTGTCTCTGTAAAATAAAGGAAAATTATGATGAGTCACAAATGGAAAGCAACAAATAAGGGTACCAGCGCACGAGAGCGACACCCACCACCCAGGGCCCTGCGGTTTTTGTTTCGTTCGCGCTTTGGACGATCTGAGAACGAACTACACCAACGTCATCTCCTCAACCAATCAAATGAGAATCAAAAGAACTCCCGACGCGGTCTACCCGTGTTTTCCCGCTGTTGGCACCAGGCCCTGGTTGTTCAACGGTTGGATAACACAGTCCGCCATATAAATCACTATCCAGAGGATGACATATTTTGATTTGTCAATACTTATCCACTGGATAAAAAAAAAAAGAAAAACATTTCGTAAGATACGGTTAACCGCCCTTTGAACAACTGGGACCAGATTTATATATTTGATTCGATTTCTAGTTGGTTCAATATACTGGACCTGGTAAATGATCTTGAAATTTCAAGATAGTTTTCCTTTTGCAACATGCAATCAGCGGAAAGTAATAAGTGTCCAGCCTTGCGTGGCCTGTTAAATAAAGCAAAGCCTTGCGATAAAGAGGCTTACTGTTAGAAAAGAACGATCTTACATATTTACCGTTTCAACTTGATAACTTCATCGATGTTTTTCATCACTGTTCCCATTTGTTCCTTCTTGTGGATGTAATCGTTCAGCATTTTGTCCCTCAAAAATGTCTGAAACAAAATGAAACATTCAAAACTCTACCCAATCCTATAGGCAAGTGTGTAAAAACACGTCTTCAGTTCAGGCCGTTTATTAAATACTGTTCGTGCTTTGTGTTTTGCTATCTCAGGATTACTAGTGCCAGGCGATCACGACTCTCGAACACCGGTGTCCGTCTTGGAGAGAGTTGACTGTAGTTTCAAGCAGTAACTTCTGAAACACCCTCCTTAGATCTAACTGGACAATAATATTGTAATCTTTGTGCTCATTTCGATTAAGAGTACTTTACTGTCACTCTTTTCACCGCCATAGATTCAATAAATAAATTTAACTACCTACAGAGAATTGTTGTGGCAAAACTGGGCGAGTAACAATTTTCCTAGTCTCCTCTCGTTGCAAAAATACCACGGGCACTTGAGAGAACTCTGAAAATTGCCGCGCCGCGCCGTTACTTAGCAACTTCGACACCGTCGAAATCTTCGGTCTCACTCCGATCCCCGGCAGAAAATTGGACATCACTTTGACCTGTTCGCCCGACTGTTTTGCCGATTTTACACTTCAAAGTTTGAATATCTTTACGGTCACTGGTTAGTTGTTACATACCTTCTCCAACTGCACAGAGACAAACACTTCCTGTAGCTTGCGTTCAAATTCTCGATCAAGTCTCTTGGTCGAGAATGACGCGAGGTGGGCTGGTGCTCCCTCGGCTGAACTGGCACGACTGGTGAGGGATGTGTCATGCGAGGAGCCTGGGGACAACCCAGCACTGAAAAAAAAAAAAAAAAATCGGGGTATTGCATATTAGTGAGGTAGCTAGTAAAAGTGATACAAATAACAATTCACAACAGATATTATTAAACAAGTGTTCACTGCGTCTACGAGTGACAGACTTTAAGAGCCTGTGTAGTATATAGGCCTGAAGGCACGAACCCGACAATCTTCGTTTAAAAGATAGGTCCGCAATTCGTAAATGTGTGAAAGAATTGAACTAGTAAATTTTGAAATGAGAAACTTTTGTATTAAGCTCTACATGTAAGGGCTACATGTGAGCTAAGCAATTACGATAAGGGCTACATGTGAGCTAAGCAATTACGATGTCAGCGTATATATTGCGTTTTCAAGGTTCATTCCTATAAAACCAACTGCAGTTCTCTCGATCATTTGAATATGTGAATACCTTTTCTCAGTTTCAGCTGCTTTTGCTTTCGCAGCTGTGATAATCTTTGAACAGCTGTCGAGTTGAAGAATGGATGAAATGATGAGATTCTTGTGCACAACCTTAAAAAAAAGAACATCAAATAACTGAGCTTCAAAATAAACAAAACTAAAGAAATCGCAGCAAGATAAGTTGTTTCCTTTCCCGAAAACGCTACATGTTGCATCATCTACAAAAGTGAAAACTGCTGAGTAACGAGAGTCGACAACGATGAAAATATAAACCTACCCCAAATTATCCCACACCGGAAACAAACAAACAAACAAACAAACAAACAAACAAACAAACAAACAACTTAAGGATGCGAAAAGGGCTTTAATGTTATATATATATATATAAAACACTCGCTGAAACCCGCAAGTTAGTGACGTTTCACTACCTTTCGCTACCACGTTGGCATTAGAGTAACTAATAAGAAATAATTTCATGCAGCGGAACAAAAGAGGATAGTAAGGACTACTTTAAAATAACAAGTTGCTACCATCAATGGAAAATTGTTCACACCTGGGCCATTAGGATCGTTTGCAACTTCTCCACACCTGTTCCAGACATAATCTAAAATAAACACAAATCAAAATGAGACAAAAAAGATAATGAAAAGATCCAGAGGCAGCCGACAGAAGAAAAACACCAGCCTTTTTTTTTCAATGAAGCAAGGCTGATTACTACGTAGAAAACAACGCGACCACGACATGATAAGAGTCCAAACTGAATACCAAGAATTGACGTTCAGCAATAAGAGTGCAAAACGCTTTTGATGTTTTTGTAGGCAAATCGACTTCAGGTATTTATTAGTTATGTCGGAAAGCTTATTTTTCACAAACCTGTAACAATCCTTCTCTTGTGCGGAAGCTAAACGTTCCTAAATGCTTTTCATCCAATTCTTGAATGGCCAAAGGAGTGTAAGCTGGTGTATATCTGAGAAAACAACAGAATTTTTGATTTTCTATATGTTACCCTTAAATGCAAGACACAACCTTACAAGTAAATGGATTAAGAATTTTTTAATTGCTGTCATTTAACACAGCGCCATTTTAAAATCAAATTCACCACTTTTCAAGGCCTGGAAAGCAGAAACGAAATTTCATTACCGAGGTGTCTTTTCCTCGACTGTACGACGGAGATGGAAATATAAAACTCCATAAGGAACTTGGATATCTTTCAAAAAAATTGATCAATACCTATGGCAGATATATCTACTTTTTTGTTAGCCAGTAAGTGACTTATCACCTGTCAACCCTGCTGTCATCCTCTTGCACGACAGTAATAAGTACATTTTGTATCTCAGCATCTGGTTTTGCTTGCGCAAAGTCGAAGGACACCGCGCGAAGGAACGCATGGTACTCATCAAAACCAATCTCTTTAGCCTGCCGTTTGTAAGCCTGTTAAAAGAGTACAGAAAGTTGAGATCTAAAAATGATCGTAACGAAAAAGACAAAGATAAAGACGTTGTGGTAGAGGTGTTATCGAGTAAAAATAAAGTACGTATAACGTATTCCATTTTGAACTAGACAACTGAATTGGATCCTTCCAACATCGCTCTTATACATAGACCCTTTTCATAAATGGCTGCCAATTATAAATTCTTTTGTAAGTATTAAAATTAGCCTGACTAACCTCGTTTTTGAGTTGATAATTCAAAAGAATTTTTACTCCCAAACGAGTTTAGTGAGGCTAATTTAAATGAAAACAAAAGAATTTTACATTGGCAGCCATTTATGAAAAGGGTGTATGCATGTATTGTTTGACTTGATAGGACGAGCCAAATGCACAAGATATTTGCAGAAATACTCTGTTATTATTCCAGCTTCTTGTTCTTGTTGTTATTCCATTGAGACTAAACTGTTCAAGGCTCAGTCATGCCATAAAGGGTTTCAAATGCTATCGTGAGGTTGTCCAAGGATGTTGTCGGATCCTTTAATTTTACGACGAAACGACAAGTTATAAAGCCGTCTGGAAAACTATCGATGACCGTGTTTTTTGTTTTCATCTGAACCCACGTCGTTGTACAGGGTTGGGGCTACTGACATGCACACAACGTCCTAAAAACACGTTAAAATTGTCCTAAAGTGGGCACAGTAAACGAACCCTAACATATTCAGAGATCTCTGGCAAAGGTTGTCAGCCAGGCATGCATGCGAGAACTGCAAGCAAAAACTATAAGTGCCTACCTTTGTCACTACATCTGTCTCCTGGGCAGCAGTTATAAGCCTGTGCCGTAAAGTTACAACCTGAAACCAATTCAAACCAGAGTCATGATTAAAGGCTAACATCCACATATACTAATTTTGTGAGACACTTGTGACCGCTTGACATGTGGTGACGTAATAGTTTAGACTCGTTTTCTCGATATTGGACTACTTGTAGAACTTGCTGGCCAACTAAAGCTAATATAGGGAGGCTTTTCAAATGCAAATGACATTTATCTCTTTTTTTCTTATACTATTCCCCCACATAAGCCTCCATTGTAAGCTATTTCCAGTTCAATACCGAGAATGCGATTGTGGACTATTGCAATTTGTCTACATTTACTTGAAAGAGCAACTAACATTCATTATGAGTAACTTTGAACATGGTGAACTGTTAGGATCTTGACTATTGCAATCTTACTGTCTTATTGCATACCTCCAGCAGCTTTGACCAGGTCTCTGTGAGAATCTTTTGTTTCTCTTTGACAGACTTGCGTCCTCCTTTCATGGAATTCGAAGCTTGGTTCACAAGAGACTGGGCCACTTCACAGACAAAGATGGGATCCTCCACAAACACCTCTGAAAAGAGCTACAATGAAAGAATATTACGTGGTTTTACAATCGTCTGTATACCTAAAATAAGGATTTCATTGTAAAGTACCACGGCATACTTCATGCGTTAAGACCAGCTAACGTTACGTTATCAAAAACTGTCATTTAACCACAGAATGAAAGTTGTTGGTTTTCAATTGCACATGATATGAAAAACATCTGATTTTCAGAGAACAGTGGTCATTGAACACAGATAAAAGAGAACAAAATAAAACAGATTTGGGTTCGACAACGACCACAATTACGTTCTGAGGCTTTGGTGAGTCAGCCAAATATCAAGTACCAAATATCGCTTTTTTTGTTGTTGTGTTGTTGTGTTGTTGGTTTTTAATAGAATGTCCAGTCTACCAAAAGCGCGAGCTCCAAAGAATCCTCAAAAGATTGTTAAACTACCATGCGAAAAAAACTACCACGCGAGAAGAAAAAAAAAAAAAAAAAAAAACAATTGCATTTATACAGGTAAACACATTTAATTTATACAGTTATACTTTAGAGATCAAAACTTCCACTCTTTAAGTGATGTTAGAATATCACAGAAATGCCCAATCATNAAAAAAAAAAAAAAAAAAAAAAAAAAAAAAAAAAAAAAAACCGCGAGAAAAATACGGCCGCGCGAAATCCTGGGGTGAGAAGCGCGCGCTTTTCTCCCCCCAGGATTTCACGCGGCCACTTTTCCCGGCGGTTTACTTACGGTCTCGTTCGACGGACTAAGCGGAAGACGGAATACTCGTAGTCTAATAGCAAAGCAAATGGTACTCACATCTTTCTGCGTCTGCTGTGCAAATGAGTGGCCGGTTGGTTCTTGACTGTCCCATTCCTTTTGCACTACTTCATATAAGCGACGTTCCAGGGAGATAATCTCTCCAGTGCTTTTCGGTTTGTGCAACTGAATGAACATCTAGTGTAAAGCAAAATGAACGTTCAGCACACGTCTTCCAAGTTTATACATCGTTATTTTGACATTTTGTACATCAATTACGTCAGAATATTTCGCTTGAACATTGAAGGGACAATGCATCATCATCAACAAAACCTGTTTTAAGTTGGATCATTAAAAAAAGGAAAATGTCTTATTATATCTAGTCGCATTTCAAGCCTAAGGATCTATTGAGACTTATTAACAGTACATGCGCAGCTCAAAAAAAGAAAGATTAAATATTTTTTACCTTTAAAGCATTCTGTAGTGATTCTGATACCCTGCTGGCAAGACCGAGTGATGGATGGAACTCTAACATGTACACATATCTTAGGGCGGGTCTGCAATAAAAACAATCTCAGCAAGCTGCTTTTGTTTGTGTGTTTGTTTATATTTATGCTTGGACTGTTAAGAAATAACTCAAGGAAGACAAGACGAAACGTTAACACTTATGATGGCACCCCTCCCTATTACGTCTGCTTACAACCCAGCTGAGGCAAAAGTTAAGATTTCAAAGCAATAGCAACTAAAATAGGAATGACAGACATTCTTGAAAAAGGAGGATTAGAGGCTTTTTTTCCAAGAGGAGTGACAAGACAGGTTATTGCGATGAAGCAATGAGAAATATTAACTTCGCGTCTTGAATGGAATGCCGGGTACAGGTTACTTCTCAAACGCTTGTCAGGTTGCTGCAACAATGTTCCATCACCACTGATACAATTCGGTAGAGAGACACGTGCACACCAGAAGAACGATAGCCAGCCCAAATTCTGCATCAAATGATTTAGCCAATTTAGCCAACGCGTCTTTGGATGAAACACTACACGCACAAGGGATCTGAGTGACCCGTCACGAGATAAACGATGAACAAAACCGTATGTGGTTCTTACCGACTTGTGTTTACTGCTATATGCTGCTGTGGGATGATGCGATGAGGAAGACCAAACAATGCTGCAAATGATTATTACAAAATAATGATTATTACATCACACACAAGACTCTTTACGGATATTATTCGCATGCTAGTCAAAAAAGAAAGTACTTATTCCACTATTAGCTTAAGGGTACTTGCTGCATCGTGAAAATGCATCATGGACCTGTTTAAATTACCCCCTTTCTATTTACATTTCCGTCTGTTTTTTTTTTTTTTTTCGATACGGTTATTACAAAAACTGTATCGCTATCTATTAATTTCTAAAGGGCTCCAGAAAGACATGCTTATTGTCAAGACATGATCTGACAAGAACTCGCACAGCACAAGATGAGATAGTTACATTGTGGAAGTGAGATTTGCATGTATCTTACCAGGGTTATCTTCCCTGCAAACTTTTTGAATATACTCTCGCTCGTCGTCAATCTGAGAGATAAATGACAACAATCAATCAGTTCTACAATTTAGTGAAAAGCACTTGATAGCGTTTATTCTTAAATTCATCTATTCAGTTTTGATGACGACTACGTCATCGCCAAAAGGAAACGTGTTGAACAGTTGTCTCTGTTAACCAACTGAGCAATACAGGTAACAGGACATTCCATTAGGACTGATCTTTGTCGTTTCATATCTTCCACACAAAATTCTTACCAACCTGTTTGTCAAGGACTGATTTGATTAAGTTGCAGTGAAGCCGGAGGTTGACACACTCAGCGCGGTAGATCTTGACGAAGTAGTCAGCAGAAAAATCATATCGTGGCCGTGCGTGCATTACATTCACCATTATCTGAAATGTTGAAAAAATAATAACAAAACACTCTCAAGAATATACAACGACACAACCTTAATACTACTAACGAACATTTTAAGAAAAGAGACAACAGGGATGACCTTTGTTGTGACCAAAGGGATCATTCGTTTCACTACATGGGCTTTCAGTTCAACTTTTCGTCACTAAATACTGCGGGATCATTTGCGGGCCTATACAGCTACAAACCTGAGCGAGCCGTTTCTTTTCTTTTGGGTCAAAAACATGATGATAAGCCTCCAGATAACAGTCCAAAAGCTGGAAAAAAAAAATAAAAGAAACCAGTCAATGGAGTTGGAAGGATGTCCAAAACAGCCAAGCATAACTAAATAAACACTGCCTGGTGCTGGGTACTCAAATACGTTAGGCTGTGCGTGAAAACTGGCGCGTCGGAATTAATTATAGACGTGGCAATTTCCTTAAAGAACCTCAGCCATAAAAAATATAAACAGGCTGATTACTAACCTGTCTTTTGTTTTCCAAATATGCCGCTTCATTTGTCCACAAGTCCAGAAGGACAGCAAACCTGTCTACCTGCTGATGTCCATAAGCTGCCAGATCGATGTGATCTCCCTGAAACTAAAACAAATAGGCAGGTTTAACAAACGTCTGCGAAGGCCGCACATTCTAGCTTCTTATTACAGAGAGAAGATTTATAGAGATGTAAATAGGGCAATGAACAATGATCTGGTATTGAGCGAAATAGTGGACACATATTAAGGTTATTGATACTTTAGCACATCGAGGGTTGGAAGGTGAAAGGTGCATTGCAAAAGATGAATGGTGAAAGGCTCAAAGCGGTCGTTAATATTGTCGCCAACCTTAAGAGTTTTAGGCAGTCTTAAATCTTTGTCTTTCTGAATAAAGTGAGTCGCCACTAACAAAAGTTCGGTCTCCAGTTCCCTGAAATAAGAAAAGAGGGCGCATCAGAGCTACATGTATACAACAAAAGATTAACGTAATCGATTCTTGTTCATCCTGCGAAAAGTTTCTTCACAACAACTGTGGGAACTTCAGATAGAAAATGGAATTCTTGTTGAAGTTCCTGAAGAACCTCCCATCCTCATTTCCTACTCAGAAATATCACTAAAACGCCGAAAGTTCATTGTTAAAGCTGCGGGAATGGAAAAAAGTAAGTGGACATTTTCTCATTGCAGAAGGTTTAACGTAAGTTTTACTCACTTAAAGTCTGACAGTGTAGAGTCGTATAAAATATAGTAGCCTCGCTGGTCCTGAATGTGAACTCGTCCTTCCTCTGTTGTGAAGAAGTCGTCATGATTCTCGACCTGTAATCAAGTGAACTTACACGGGTTACGAGGAAGTGGAAAATCATGTCACTTCGAGGGCATCAAAATTTCCAATGGACCATGGACATCAACTAAAGTTTCATAAGCATTTTTTTCTTTAAACTTCGTCTTTAGTGTCAGACTTGCAGGCAATAATCTATAAATAGCGGCGGGAAAGGAGCTACGTTTAACAAGGGTTCCATTATCTTTTTATATTTACCTCTTTATTTACAAAAACACTAACCTCCGAAAATTCCATGAATTCTGACTGTTCAACCCTGAAAAATTCGACAACAGTTCCGTTAGTGAATATAGAGAACACTGCATCTTGGCTGCACCGTATTTGAAGTCATATATGTTTGTGGAACTCATATAAATATTGGTTCTAAATGTACGTGGGTTCGCAGTGAGATTGTGAGATTGTTTAAACCTAACTTGTATCTTCCCTGGGGATAGAGTGGTATTCAGTTGAGAGCCATAAACCAAGACGAAGGTAATCCACCAAGTAGGGAGTGAACCAATCCAAGATCGAAGAAAATACATGTGGCTGAGGCAAGGCAAGAGGAAACTTGCACAGGTAAGTCACGATTGGATTTGGTTTTATTTCAGATTGGAAGACAAAGTGGCGCAGCTTTTTAAGCGTACAAAAATCGCTTAGCGTAGTAATGCAAAACCAAAGCAAATACGTTTTAAGTGAAAACCGCTATGTAAGGCCCCGGCCAAACGATCGCAACATTTCTAAACAACATATCACGACATCGTTGGGTGCAACATGTTGTGCACGTTTGACCACTCTGTTGCGAGGTGTTGCGACATGTTGGGTGCTGTGGCTCAAGTTTGAAAATGGTCAAATTTGAGCCAGTAACAACCAACACTTTGCAACAGGGTGGCCAAACGCGCCAACAATGTCGGGAGATGTCGCGTTGAAGTGTTGCGATCGTTTGTCCTGGGCTTCACGTGGACGGGTTGAGAGCGCTAAGTACATTGTATCCTCCTTGAGGGCATGATAAAAGGATGATGGCCAGGCTCGATCTATTCATCTCTGAATACAGAGTGTAAAAAAGTGGTCTCTCAAACCTATACAGTGGAACCTCGATTTAACGAACCTCTATTTAACGAAGTCCTCGATATAACGAACGATATTCTATGTCCCGGCCAGAGTTACAGTAAAATGTATGGAATGGAACCTAAACATAACGAACATCGATATAACGAATTCTTCGATACAACGAACATAATTCGGAAGCCCAAACGTAAAATCTACCTCGATATAACGAATTACAATGTTTCCTTGTTTACATAGACAATTTTCTGTATAACCTCTATGTTGCAACATTTTTAAATCGGCTACTCTGAAAGTGTCGTTCTTTTGTAAACAAAAGCTGCGCGTCTGCTCAAAAGTGAAAATAACTGATACTGAAAGCCACTATGCTTAATGAATTGCATCTCAAAACGCGGCACTTCTGGGTGACGAAAACTGCATTGAGTTGCGTGACATAAGTCACCTGTGTTACAAATCAATCATTAACTATGACCTCGATATAACGAACATTTTGGTCTTTTCCCCTCAAATTCGTTACATCGAGGTTTTCGATATAACGAACCCTCGATTTAACGAACAAATTTGGCCGGTCTCCAGCGACATCGTTAAATCGAGGTTCTACTGTACCTGTAATCGGCTGGAGTGTTATGAATATACTGATGAGATCCAACGCCTGCAATTCCTCCGCCATGAAATACCTGATGTCTAAAATGACAATGCCAAGAGTCAGTTTATGCTAAAAAAAGTAAATTACAGTCCTGCTTATGAAAAGCTGTTTTATCCAATTCCAACCTCCCTAATTCAAGTACATACTCCACTAGTTTATTAAAGACAAGATCTTATAACTAAATGACAAACCTTCTCAGTGTAACAATAAAGAAGTCGTTCTGAACACTACTATACATCTTGCCTTAAAAATACGCCTAAAAAAGACTTGCCATGGAAGATGAACTTAACTGTTTTGTAACTCTTTTAGCGTTATTCTTATGTCAATATCTATTCTTCCCTACAGATTTTGCCTCGCTGACTTACTTGGAAGGCTTTTGTTTTCCTCCTTCCAAAGACAAACCACAGTCATTTATCGTCAAAGTTCTCTCAGTTGATCTGAAGTAGTTTAGCAAACCAAGGCACTGCAAGGTAAACAATGAAGACAAAGTTGCAGAATAACTGAATGCGACAAAGCCGTAACGCTTGCTTAGTGTGACTATCTTTTGGAAAAAATCCTGCACATAGATGTGAAAGGACGCTGATTGGGAATTTATACATGGTAGCACTGAAAGGTTATAATCTTCCTCACAGGTACAATAAACCAAATAAACGATTTACATGATGGCGTCCTTTGACTACAACTACCAGAATCCTTGACTCTTTCTGTTTCTTATGTTAATTCGGGCAATTGTTATTTAAACCCCACTGGGAATTGAAAATTTAAATAATAAAGAAAAAACGAAATGAATTCTGGTAGTTGTAGTCAAATGACGTCAACGTGCAAATCTACTATTATTCCAGGACATAAGTGTTCTTGAATTTTGTAGGACAAAGGTTACCCCTAAGCTCCCAGCTACATATATGTTGGAACGCCTAGCATGGAACTTTCACCTTTGTCATTGAAATGCATGTACACATAAGTTCTCCATGAAAGGTGTAAGGAGCATTTCTTACCGATCTCTGTAGATCCCGGAGCCTGAGGTGCCGGAGTAGCAGAAAGGACATGTAGGCCCCTTGTAATCTACTGGCCTGAGTCTTGGCGTCATCATCATCCAAACCAAGCAACTCAACTGCTGTGCCAAGATCAAACTCGCCAGTGGAATTACTGTTTCCACCCATGTCATCTTCACTGATTTTAGTGTCGAACTCAAGAACATCATCCTTGGAACTCAAACTGAATTAGATCAAGAAGAATCACAGCGTTAATCAATCTCATTCGCGAGCCTTTTTTGTTTAATGTGGAAGCTTGACGAAACGAGTGACTCGAGAGTTCCGTTGCAGTGTAGATTTTGATTGGTTTAAAAAAAAATGGACATGAGCGGACGAAAAGCACTAGCATCTCAATTGAGACACGTCTTTGTCAGCTAGGAATGCGCAATTAGACCGGAAGTTCGATGTTTTCGGACTTCAAATCAGATCTTTCCAGGGTCGCCCGTTTCCCGACCGCTGGTCAAGGGGAACAAAGACTCTGGGCACGAGGTATAACGCTACTGTAGAGAATATGTCAAAAGTCGAGAAAAACTGCTATTGATTAATTGAATTGCTCTCTCGGTTGCTCGAGTAGCCTTGTTAATCAACAGAAGTCAAGGCATTACTTATCTCTTATTCATTATCATACATGATGACAACTGCTCCACCGTGTTTAACGTTACTGATCTCTTCAATGGTTAAATGACATTAAACAAATATTTACAGTGTACCTTACTGAGGCATAACTGAAAATACGCTTCCACACTGCAGCTGTGTCATTCTGAGTACGGTAAGTTGTCACGGATGCTGGGTGAGGTTTAGGCGGGTCCAACACCGCCTTAGCATGTTCCTTTAACGAGGACAGTACCCTCTGAGGATAGAGAAAAACAAATGATTTGAGTGGACTGCACGTTCGTCTTGCACAGTTGACTGTGCATTCTTAGTTTACAGGCCTGAGCAATTACGTTTACAATGTAGATTTTCAGATCGAAGCAAAAAGCTGCAAGCCTGTCAGCCGGTTTTTGTGCTACACGTATGATTCAAGAGACACTATGAGTCTTCCAATAACGATATACTCGGAACAAATGTTATTACTACATGTATCTTGTATGCAATGCAGCTGTCGAAAGGAAACTTAGTTAATAACATGATTTCGTTTTGTTCAAAATAACCTCACCTGACCGTCTTGAACGTGAAGAAAGCGTGAATGAGCCCTTAGCAACTGAAAGAAAAAGGAGTTAGAGAAAACAACCATTTAAGAGCTGTCTGCATTGAATACAACTATTGTTTCATGAGCACATTGAAACGTTCGGGTATTCACCTCGTCAATATTTCCTTTCTGTCTAAGCTTTGTCATGGCTTTTACTTGAGTTGATGTCTGTTCTGGTCTGAAGGAAGGAGAGTGTACACAACATTTCTATCGTTACTGCCAGTCTAATAAGCATATTTCAGTCAAATTTAGTAATTAACCACCCACTCAGACAGAGAAAATTGCCAGTTATCGAAAAAAGAAACGTTCTGCGCTTGATATAAGAATTTTGGGCAATATGGGCAAGAATATCAGTAATACCTAACTATCTGGGATTTAGCTTATGTACTTTGGAAAGCAGAAAGGCTGTATACAGTTTTAAACGTCACATGAATATTTGTTACCCTGAAAGGTGTGCAAGAAGTTACAGGTACAAGCTGGTAAGGCAGCTCACAATTCTATCATAGCAAAAGATTACACACCTTAGAAGATTGAATGAAGTCCAGTTGGACTGCTGTTTGAACGTGTGCAAGGCCCCTTCGCTTCTTATTTTGGAATCTCCAAACTCCTTCAAAAAGAAAGCATTACAGAGTGGTCGAGTGGTCCAAAAATTATTCGAAGACTTAAAGATTAGTTCCTCAGTGACTTCGACGTACTGTACATGTATATTCCATCATACACCTCAATGTACCGCCTTCTGGGTATTGATGTACGTGTTGTCCTTGCAAAGACCCTAATATTGTAAACGCCACACAACAGCTCTGTAGTTTTAGTGCATGTGACAAAGAAACAATGACAGTACAAACAAAATGCGAAAACGTAATCTGGAACTGGAATTTTACATTCAACTTTAAGATTACTGTGAAATGCTATCAACACATAGGAAAACACCAGGTGGCAAAGCTTCTTTAGGGCGGATCCAGGGTGGATCAAGGTGGATGTTCAGTTCGCTAACCTCAATTGATGCATCGTATATAGGGAAAGTCTTCATCTGCTCTTGCTTTGAAAACACCTTTTTGAACCTCCTTGAGACCATTGTAAAAAGATCCATTTCATCTGCATGTGTGTTTATTTGATTTATATCCTGCAAGAAGCGTATAATGTGACAGTGGTCTATTAGACACACTGCAGTGTAACATGATTTAAACAAACGTGGTTTTGAGAAACCCATAAAATACATGTAAGTATTCTGAGAAACAGGGAGGTGGCTAACATCATCATCATCTGCGTCATTGCGCCATGGGACGCATAAGGCCTTATGACATCTAACATACTGTACAGAAATTTGAAATTTAGCTGAAAGTGTATACTTGAATGCAAACATTGAGACTTTATGCCATTGTTTCCTTGTTAATCCTGCATTCATAGTAGTATAGCATGTTGAAAAGTAGCCCCATTTTCCTAAACACAATTTAAATATAAATGTCGCGGGTAATATTCTCTGCAAATCACCCTAACCTGTATCTCTATCTAACCTTGACAACATTTTTTCCAGTAAAGTATGACTACAGATTATGAATGCTTTCAGCAACCTGTAACCATGAATATGTTTACGACATTCTTAAACTTTAGACAGTTGTTGTGCCATTACCATTTCAACAGCATAACAGGTCATCAAGAATTCCAACAATGCCTTTATGGTGACAAAAGACGTCTCGTGCAGGGGCAACTTCAAGTTTATTTCGTCTGAAGCCAATCCACCACCAGAAGCAGCAGCAGCTGCTGCAATAGAAGGATTCGTCCCTGACACCAATTGATATGGGGACAAACTGAGTGGAGGAGGAGGTGGAAGACTTGCATCAGGTGTAGGTTGCGGCCTCAAGATATGAAGATGTGCAGTGATTGATACTTGACTGAGGATCTTTTTCAGCTGGCCTCGTGCTTTGGAGGGTGGGGCCATTGACTGTTTACGTTCTTGCTCTGGTGGTTTTTCTTCTTTTTCACTGACTTGAGGCTGAATGCTGTTCTTGTGTGTCAAGGGAAGCCATTCAATCGTCTGCAAAGAAGATCACTTGGGAGTTTGAGATTTAAATTTTATCAATTACACTGAAGAACAATTGGAGAAGGGTTCAAAACTCCACAGTAAAGCTGTTGGTTTAAAATCTCATCCACGGATATTAAGCACATGTATACATGTAACATACTACATGATTCTACACGAATGTTTGAAGTCTATCCCAAACTAGATACACGAGGCTGGATCCATGTCCCATGAAACCCTTTCCAAAATTAAACACAATCAGTTTGATTCCTGCCTTAACATAGAGACACGAGTGGCCCCAGTGCCCAAACTGCAATTACCAGAGGCTGGTCCATGTCCATGCAAATGGACGTACGAGATGCCACCTGCCCTAAACTCGACAAACAAGTTTGACACTGTCCCAAATTGAATATAAGAGGTTGAGTTTAGAACCTGGACTCATGTCGATTTAGCCACTGTCCCAAATTGTATACATAACAAGTGCCATGCACTTGGCCACCATCCTAAACCGAATAAATGAGTTGGGTCCCGTTGTTTCACATTGGCTGTTCAGCATAACAGTTTGGCAATGTCCCATGAGATTGACCTGGCTGTCACCAACAGGACAAATATTATTCAGTAGGAATGGACAAAAAACTCATAAGATGCGTGACACTGCTGATAAATTAGATTTAAGGCTCAAAAGGCTCTTAAAAGTGTCAAATATTAATCTAGTAAACATTTCGGGCTTAGCCCTTCTTCAGTACATGTAGGTGGAATCAAATATTAGTCTGTTAGGTGGACAAATGTTAGTCTCTTTCCTGTCTAAACTGGAAATCACATTGGGTCTGGCTGCAAGCCGCACTATTTGCCCCTGCTCCACAGGAGTTTGGCCAACCCTCCTAAACTCAAGACACGGCTGACTCACCCTGATGAATGCATGCATAGCCTTGACTGAATGCAGCATACAGATTAACCAGCGAGTGTAAATCAACAAGTCTTCCATTGTGACTACACTCATTGCTGAATCACTTCCAGCAAGTGTTGCTTCACATGCCACAGCCAATCGCCTTGCTCGTTTTAGGCAGTCTTGATATTCCTCCATGATATAACTGACAATAAAAGAGAAAGAGGATATCTTCTGTAATAAAAAAAAGATAACATTTCCTGCAATAATTTTTCTGATGAGTTAGGTTAAGCTGATGACTTAATAAATGCAAGTGGTCATCAGACTTGAGATCCAGAGACTGTCTACATAACAGGCCATTGACTTCACACAGTCCCCACCAAGGTAAAACTAAAAACGAATGCACCATATCAGAGAGACTACTGTTACCTAACGGCAAATGGTTCTGGTAAGTAGTCAAGACTATGCTCTTGTTCCTGTTACCCTGGGTCCTCCCCTCTTCCAGCACCCATTTGGAACTTGATAATTATGTAGTTTACATCTTTTGGTGGTCCTGAGTTACTATGCCTCCCTATTTATAACTATATGTATGTGTAAATAGCCAGAGGTTGGAAGTTTTAATCATGTTATAATTATGGAATCATAATGTGACTTTTGTTGTCCTATGTTCAGGTGGTAGTACTTCAAACTAATTTTTGATTAAGTGCACATCCAGCAGAAACAAACAAACAAACAAACAAACAAAAAAACAAAACAAAACACAATAAAACAAACAAAAAAACTGTCTATTTGTCTCCCTACAACTCTACATACAGTACAATTCACTCATGGCAAACAGGAATGCTGGTAGGCCATAAAAATAATCCTTTCTACAGTGCACTGTACATGAACATTTATATCCAACAACTGCCAAAAGAAGCATTTGGGCTTTTGTAGTTTGAAAGACTGACATACAAAATTCACATTTTGCATACCTGAGCCTTTTCTGGTATATAGGATAAAGGTTTTCAATGGCTTTTGTGTGTTCACAGAAGCGAGCCCATCGTAGCATGTGCATATGTTTGCACTGAACTAAGTGTTCTATCCTGTCCACAAAAAACTGCAGAAAAATAACAAACCGTAAAGTTTACATGTGAGTACTCTTGCAATATTTCCCAAATGTTCATCCAGCTGGTTAGTGGTGAGCATTACATGTACAGTGTATAATTAGGTACAGATCCAGTATTTTTCAAGGGGGGAGGGGGCATTGGCTGGTACAGTACCTTGGGGTTGTAAAATCAACAGGGCATGAATTGCCCAAAAATTGTTAGAATTTGAGAATTGGAACCCAATTGCTGTTAAACCAGAAATACTGGCAATGCCACAGCATAGAAATTACAATGCTCAAGGTACTTGTCCAGAGTTTGCTCCTTCATTGCTCTCATAATATTCACGATATTCTCCTTTTTTAAGATTTTGCTTCTCAAAATAAAGAGGGGTGAGGGTGGTAATAGCCACCCCCCCACCCCCCCCCCCTCCCCCCCCCCCATCTGTTCCTGAACAAATTAAAAACATGACCAAGTAGAAAGTATTCTCTTGGGTTCCTTAAATGTCCAAAGTCAACTTCCCACCAATCTACATTTCCCTGGCACGACCATCAACTGATCATCAAGATTAAGACTTGATCTTGATGCAACCAGTACATGAATAACTTGACTTAAGTGTGACCTTCTTCTTTTTCAAACTGACCTGATGAAGCAGGAGTGGGATGCTTTTTGCAGTATATTCCACTTGACAACAGCTGGTCATCTCTTCATGCATTACATCTGACTGTATTATCAAGGGTTTAGCCTCATGCACCTGTAAAATAGATCAGAACACACTGTAGCTTAATCATCATGATAGTTAAATGTGCCATACTTAAAATAATATTAAGTTAATTATAAAATGGTTATTAGGTCAGAGTTTTTTCTCTGCTACAGGTAAACATGTAACCCAGTAATGCTTGTTCATGGTCAGGTGGTTGGCGACTAAGCTGGTCCCCTGACTGAGGATTAGTTCAGCAAGGAAGGTTGTGGAACTGGCCAGGACAGAAACAAGACCTGTCAAAGGGTAGTTGATTTTGTTAGAATGGCCATCCACACAATGGGTAGATGAGGCTCCTCAGCCCTGAAAGGCAGCTCATCTAGGAGAAGGAAACTGATTCTGAACACACGCTGCAGGCCCTACAGCATACCTGGCCACAGGAAAAGCTTTGGGAATCAACCCTGAGAAAACATCCAGAGACATCCTATCCTTAGGATCCATCTTCAACATGGAGAGGTGGGACCTACACATACATTTGTACTGCTTAGGCAACAGTTGTTTAGAGCTTCATATCGCAATGCCTTAGCTTGCACCCTGGAGAGGACACTCCAGTCTAACCTCACAGCATCAAAATAATTTACAGGAAGCAGCAGTTTACCAGTGACAAGTCACAGTACTTGATTGTTGCTCAATAAGCCACAGTGCTTGGTGGAAAGGATCTTTGAATCGCACTGGGTCACAGCTACTGCCCACCTCAAGCTGGGCAGCTCCCAGCCAGTTAACTGCTCTCCTGCCAAAGTCTGCCTTCCTTATTCAATATTGGTTGCATGGGCTTTAGGATATACATGTAGATGTTGTCCACCAGTTCACCATCAGGGACAACCTGCCCCTCAAGGTCGAATGATAAAATAATGCATCTGGATTAGGCCACAACAACTCTTATAGGCCACCCTATAATTACAAACTGTGACTGAGAGAATTCAAAGCTCACAGTGTGAACTAAGATGGCAACTGGTGTACAATGCCTGTATCATCGGCATGCTCCTATATGCCAGTGAGACCTGGAAAACATGCATACATGTAGGCCAAACAAGAGTGCAAGCTAAACAGCTTCATTGACATTCAATGGAGCGACAAAGTATTAAATGTACTGGTACTTGTATGCCCGGGCCCTTCCATCATGTACACAGTGCTCAGACAATGCAGGGTGTACATGAGCTGGCTCGGCCATCCATGCTGGATGCAAGATACCAAAGGAAATCCTCTACGAAGAACTACATTGTACATTGTACAATGCAGCCTTTAGCAATCAACAAAATTAATGATGATAATGATGATGATGATGCTGCTGCTGAAAATGATGATGATAATAATAATAATAACTTTATTGGATAACACAATTACTGGCAAAAACCAGTACTTCTCATTGTGGCCCTTAAAATCTACCATGCAACTACAATTACAAATTCAAACAGGGTTAGGGTTAGGGTTAAATAAAATAAATATCATATACATGTAAGGCGTATAATCCAAGGCTGACACCGACTAATGCAGGCCGATGAATTGATGACAAAGAGGTTATCTGTGGTGTCCTGTAGACATCCAGAACTATGAACAGTGGTCATATAACCAAGCTAGTATGTAGTGTGTGTCCATGTTTTGTAATCTGAGCAAGTGCTTGAGTGTGCCTTTGGGTTGCCCGGGTTTCTGACCTTAATGGTTTTATATACTACAGTCAAAGATTTGCAGTACAGTGTAGGGGGGGGAGTTATTGTTAGTCGCTAAGAGTAGATTTCTGATTTTGCAGAGCAGCAGGGACTGAGGGTATGAAGTAGATGTACAGTAAATGCTTCCAAATTAGGGGTGTGGCTAATCTACGGGTTGGGCTTATACAGGGACTCTCCACCATCCGAAGCATTCAATGAATGAAACACACCTGAAGACTCTTGCTAATGGCCAACTTCCTCTCCCTCTTAAAATGATCAACATCCTTTGGTAAAGGGACAGACCTTCAAAAATAAGAGCGAAAATGTTCATACATGTACACTTCATTTAGCATTGCACTATGAAAACAAACAATATCAACAAAGAATTCTTTACCACACAACTCAAATGTCGCACAGATCTTATCCAATTTTGATATTAACTGAGTAACCAGATGGTATAACAATTATTATCATAGCAATTTTGGCCTAAATGATTTTAAATTGAATACCAAAAGAAGTTCCAATTTCATAAACTGCAAAAGCTAAAAATATTAATATATAAAATGTGTGTATTGGCACACAGGGAGGCTTCAAGCACTCAGAATTGCAAAACACTTTTTTCTTGAGTCATTATATTTTTAATATAGTACTACATTGAAATAACCACCTGAGATCTATTCTATATAATATATAAACAATACATGTACATGTAGACTCTGGACACTTGAAGCAAAAATATGTCTGGATTCAACAGATATTTCTCTACAGACATTATCTGTTCTGAGAGCACAGTTCGAGAAACAACTGTGAGCTTTGAGGAATATATTGAACGAATAGAGGCTATTGTGTTTGTTTATTTTTTTTTTGCAGCATACACAGTTTTCAAAATTGAGAAATATCACTCAGACACTCCCCAGTTTTAGTTGGGGCATATTCAGTAATGTGAATGCATTTAGACCAACACGTATGGACTAAAATATTTGATGGATTATACAGTGTAATTAACCTTACGATACTCCTGATACCTCCCTACAGAATCAATCAAATATCATTCTATAATCTAAGAATCTAACAGCTAAAGGAATCAAGAATCATCCCCCCTGATTGCTGAAGATTTTACAAGAACTCAGCAACTACATGTACAGTACACTAAAAATAAGTGATTGGTACAGTGTAGGGAGAGAAAGCCCTAAAGTGTGTACAAGTCTCCTTGTTAAGCTAATAAATTATAATTCATTATATCAAAATCAGAATAGTAACAATGTTATTAAGAGGCAATCAAAAAGGTTGAGATTTGGTTGGCCATTTTCACACTAGAGACAGAAAGTCCTTCTAAGACGTGTTATCCATCCAGCACGGATAATCCGTCTTAGTGTGAAAACGGATTATCTGTGGTGGACAGATAACCTGTCTTGGATGGATTATCCATCTCTAGTGTGAAAATGGCCCATACCAAGACGGAAAATGTAGCAGAAGGATAATCCATCTAGACGGATTATCCGTCTCTAGTGTGAAAATGGCCAATGTTGGAAGTGATTCTCGGGTGCATTTCAATGGTCACACAATTTGTCAGAGTAATGGGTGAAAAACAGGCTGCAGACTGCACTCCAGACTGCAGACTGGGGCGTAAAATGCATACAGAAGACAAGGGGTAACTGTAACATATTGGCACGTGAGAATTAGCACCTATTGTATGTTATATTTTGTGTACGCATATTTAAGTAGGCTAGCACATTATGCAAATCTAGAGAGCACACACATCCACGCGGTGTGTATGAACAAGCAGAGTAAACCTCTTCGACAACACACTACATGGTGACAGCGTTTTACAAGAGTAATTTCTAGAGTTTAATCAAAAGAGGCCAGCAGAAGCGAATTATGGCAACAGCAACGTCTTTTGCGTCGCCACAGATGAACTGGGACGCTCNGACATCGCCAACACATGGGGCGATGTCACTGATGAAGATAAGAAGAAGCTCAAGACATATTTTGAGAGATTTGCGAATCATGTGGAACCGAAATGCAATCCAGTATTTTCCCGCTAAAAGTTTCACAAGAGAGTACAAGCAGAGTCCGAAACAGTGGAACAGTTTGTGACCGACCTAAAGCTTCTGGTGAGAGAATGTTCCTTTAAGGAACCCGATGAAATGATTCGTGACAGAATTGTCTTTGGGACAAACTCTCGTAAAATTCGAGAAGCGTTAATCAACGAAGGCAAAGATCTGACCCAGGACAAGGCCATAGCCATTGCTCGAACCTATAAAATGTCACAATCACAAATAAAGTCAAAGGAGGGAAGCGATGAAGTCGTACGCAGTGTTGAAGAAGATCGACGATCCAAAAAGGAGCCCCAAAAGCCACCCTCAGAGATACCACAGCGAGGTACGTGTGGTAGATGCGGAAGGACTCACGCAAAGGATTCATGTCCAGCCATGGGTAAAACGTGCCTAAAGTGCAAGAAAGCAAACCACTTCGCCAATATGTGCAAAACAAGAGACCAGCAAGTGCACGAGGTCAGTGACAACCCTTACTAAGTAAGTGACAGTTTGTTTTTTGAATCTATCTCAGAAGATGTTAACCAAATCAATCAGTGTTTGTGAACATTGAGATCGGCAATAAGAAGACGCCAATAAATTTCAAGCTTGACACTGGTGCCCAAGTGAACGTCATTCCTCTCTACGTATTTCAACAACTTGGGTGTAACGATCTGGAGAGCACGTCGCAAAGACTGTTTGGCTATGGTGGCAAACCTCTCAAGGTAGAAGGGATATGCACTTTAGCCTGCTCATACAAGGGGACACAGGGACACCATCAGTTCTATGTAGTGTCCACGCAAGCACCCCCAATACTGGGATTATCATCATGTTTATCACTGAATCTTATTCAGCCAATACTCTCTGTAGAAGAAAAAGGAAAACATTGACGCTGTCGCCAAAAATCCAGGATACATATTAACTGAGTACAAACATGTATTCGAAGGGCTAGGATCGTTTCCCGGGATGCACAAAATCCAACTCAAACCCTCCTCGCAAAATCCCAATAGCTCTTCGAGACAAGCTGGAAAACGAATTAAAGAGAATGGAAGCCCTGCAAGTCATAGTAAAGGTCACAGAGCCCACAAACTGGGTCAACTCAATTGCAACACCGGAAAAGCAACACACAGGTGCCTTGCGAGTGTGTTTAGATCCAAGAGATTTGAACTGTGCTGTTGAGGGCGAACGTCATCCTCTCCCGACATGGAGGAACTGACCCTAATGTTGTCCGGTGCAAAGTATTTTAGTGTCCTAAATGCCACGTCCAGTTATTGGCAGATAAAACTTGATGAGGAAAGTTCTTTCCTAACCACTTTCAACACGCCATTTGGGCGTTATTGCTTCACCAGAATGCCATTCGGTATACACTCTGCACAAAAGATGTTCCAGAAGACCATGGACATGGCATTTGAAGGCATTGACCGGTGCAAATCCATCATTGATGACATGCTCGTTTGGGGATCATGTATAGAAGACCACAACAAAAATCTGAGGAAAGTCTTTGGGCGTACAAGAGAGGTCGGGATCAAGTGGAACGCTGAGAAATGTGTTTTTGGAGCAACCCAAGTGAGTTACTTTCGTCATGTGCTGTCCGACAAAGGGGTACAGCCAGACCCCATGAAAGTTGCCGCTATCCAAGAGATGGAGCCACCAAGAAACAGACAAGAACTCGAGATCCTACGCGGAATGGTCAACTATCTGGCTAAATTCACACCAAACCTGGCAGAAACCACTGCACCCATGAGAAACCTNAAACCTCTCAAGGTAGACGGGACATGCACTTTAGCCTGCTCATACAAGGGGACACAGGGACACCATCAGTTCTATGTAGTGTCCACGCAAGCACCCCCAATACTGGGATTATCCTCATGTTTATCACTGAATCTTATTCAGCTAACACTCTCTGTAGAAGAAAAGGAAAATATTGACGCTGTCTCCCAAAATCCAGGAGACATATTAACTGAGTACAAAGATGTATTCGAAGGGCTAGGATCGTTTCCCGTAATGCATAAAATCCAACTCAAACCTGACGTCGAACCTGTTATTCACCCTCCTCGCAAAATCCCAATAGCTCTTCGAGACAAGCTGGAAAACGAATAAAAGAGAATGGAAGCCCTTCAAGTCATAGTAAAGGTCACAGAGCCCACAGACTGGGTCAACTCAATTGTAACACCGGAAAAGCAACGCACAGGTGCCTTGCGAGTGTGTTTAGATCCAAGAGATTTGAACTGTGCTGTTAAGCGCGAACGTTATCTTCTCCCGACATTGGAGGAACTGACCCTAATGTTGTCCGATGCAAAGTATTTTAGTGTCCTAGATGCCACGTCCGGTTATTGGCAGATAAAACTTGATGAGGAAAGTTCTTTCCTAACCACTTTCAACACGCCATTTGGGCGTTATCGCTTCACCAGAATGCCATTCGGTATACACTCTGCACAAGAGGTGTTCCAGAAGACCATGGACATGGCATTTGAAGACATTGACGGGTGCAAATCCATCATTGATGACATGCTCGTTTGGGGATCATCTAAAGAAGACCACGACAACAATCTGAGTAAAGTCCTTGAGCGTACAAGAGAGATCGGGATCAAGTGGAACGCTGAGAAATGTGTTTTTGGAGCAACCCAAGTAAGTTACTTTGGTCATGTGCTATCCGACAAAGGAGTACAGCCTAGACCCCAAGAAAGTTGCCGCTATCCAAGAGATGGAGCCACCAAGAAACAGACAAGAACTCGAGACCCTCATCGGGATGGTCAACTATCTGGCTAAATTTACACCAAACCTGGCAGAAACCACTGCACCCATGAGAAACCTGCTAAAGAAAGACTCCGAGTTTGTATGGGATTGTATGGGACTATGCTCAAATAGAAAAGGAGATGTATACAATAGTGTAACATATTGGCACGTGAGAATTAGCATCTATTGTATGTTATATTTTGTGTATGCATATTTAAGTAGGCTAGCACATTATGCAAATCTAGAAAAGCACACACATCCACGCCGTGTGTATGAACAAGCAGAATAAACCTACTTGACAACACACTACATGGTGGCAGCGTTTTACAAAAATAATTTCTAGACTTAAATTAAGAGAGGCCAGCAGAAGCGAATTATGGCAACACCAACGTCTTTTGCGTCGCCACAGATGAACTGGGACGCTCCTGATCCGATAACTGCATTCGCAAGATTCAAACAAAAATGTCAGCTTATGTTCACAAGCGTTCTCAAAGACGCCGATGACGAAGAAAAGTGAGCTATTTTTTACTCTGGTCGGGTGAAAAAGGCCTGGATTTATACAACAGTTGGACATTCACAAAGGAGGAAGACAGGAAAAAGCCTGCCATTATTTTCGAACGGTTCGAGAATCAATTGGAACCGAAGACGAGTCATCGAATTGACAGATACACACTACAAGGAATGCGACAAGAATAAGGCGAGCCAGTTGATGATTTTATCTCAAGATCAAAAAATCTAGCAGCAAAATGTCAATTTCGCGACAACGCCGAAGTCGAAGACAGAGTTTTGGATCAGCTCATTTGGGGGTCAAGAAATCCCGATGTCCAGAAGTCTCTCATAAGCCGAGACAAATCATTGACCCTTGTAGCCGCTATTGAGACTGCAAGAAGCCACGAAGGGAAAAGTAAACATATGAAGACACTGGCAGGAAGTAGCGAAAGCCATCAAGAGGATAGAAGTATAGATGCTATTCATAAGGAACAAGAAAGGGAATTCTGTAACAACTGCGGAAAACAACACCCAAGGAGCAAATGTCCAGCCTCCGGTACATTATGTCAAAAATGCGGCAAAGCTAATCATTAGCAATCTGTCTGCCGATCCAGCAAACGGAACCAAGGAAGAAAGCCGGCCTTCAAAAAAATTATTCACACGATTGAGGACGGGGGCGACGAAGACAATGATGAAATTCTGACAATCAGTACCATCGAGGTTAACACCATAGAAGACACGCAACATTCGACACACGACACACGCGATGAAGTCTTTTTAACACTTGAGATAACTCAGCCAGAAAAGAAGCGGAAAATTAATCTCCAGTGCAAGGTAGACACAGGTGCTCAGAGCAATGTTTTGCATATCAGGCCACTTCGCATAATCGCCCCAGAGAAGTTTGACGACGAAGGAAACCCCAAACCAGAAGCACTGGAAAAGAATGAAGCCGTCCTTTCAGCATATNATTCACAGATACACACTACAAGGAATGCGACAAGAACAAGGCGAGCCAGTGGATGATTTTATCTCAAGATTAAAAAATCTAGCAGCAAAATGTCAATTTTGCGACAATGCCGAAGTCGAAGACAGAGTTTTGGATCAGCTCATTTGGGGCTCAAGAAATCCCGATGTCCAGAAGTCTCTCATAAGCGGAGACAAATCATTGACCCTTGCAGCCGCTATTGAGACTGCAAGAAGCCATGAAGCGACAAGCAAACATATGAAGACACTGGCAGGAAGTAGCAAAAGCCATCAAGAGGGTAGAAGTATAGATGCCATTTATAAGGAACAAGAAAGGGAATTCTGTAACAACTGCGGAAAACAACACCCGAGGAACAAATGTCCAGCTTACAGTACATTATGTCGAAAATGCGGTAAAGCTAATCATTGGCAGTCTGTCTGCTGACCCAGCAAACAGAAACAACTTAACCAAGGAAGAAAGCCGGCCTCCAAAAAAGTTATTCACACGATTGAGGACAGGGGCAACGAGGACAATGATGAAATTCTGACAATCAGTACCATGGAGGATAACACCATAGAAGACACGCAACATTCGACACATGACACACGCGATGAAGTCTTCGCAACACTTGAGGTAACTCAGCCAGAAGAGAAGCGCAAAATTAATCTCCAGTGCAAGGTAGACACAGGTGCACAGAGCAATGTTTAGCCTATCAGGCTACTTTGCACAATCGTCCCAGAGAAGTTTGACGACGAAGGAAACCCCAAACCAGAAGCACTGGAAAAGAATGAAGCTGTCCTTTCAGCATATGGTGGCTCTGTAATCAAGCAGCTTGGCACTATAAACATCCCTTGCAAGTACAAAGAGAAGAAGATCAACTGCATTTTCTACATCACAGACACTTCAGGGCCAGCTATTCTAGGTCTAAAAGCGTGCACTGCACTAAAACTGGTCACCCTAAACTGCACACTAAGAACAAATCAATTAGACCAGGCTGATCCAACTAGCAGTTTCAATGCCCCAGCTCACAATTCGGGTAGTTGCAAGAAAAGCTCGAGTTACATTGGAAGTCATGTACCACTGGAAGAGCGGCCATCAATCACAAGTAAACAAGAGCTGATGGAGATGCACCCAGAATGTTTCAATGGCACAGTTGGATGTTTTGACGACTTTACGTATCACATCACACTGGATCCTGAAGTATCACCGGTGGTCCATGCACCCCGCAAAGTGCCCATAGAGTTGAAAGATAAATTACAAGCTGAATTACATGAGATGGAAAGTCAAGATATCATTGCAAAAGTAACACAACCTACAGATTGGGTTAACTCCCTGGTTATTAGAGAAAAAGAAAATGGGCGACTTCGTTTATGCCTCGATCCTACAGGCTGCAGATGTTGTACATATGTATGTGTACGTGTACATGTATGTTGTGTAACCATTTCTATTATCAAGTGTTACATACGTAACTGTAAACAGACTAGCCTGGGTGTTGCTCTGGCTTGCTGTCAGGAGCAAAAGTCTGCATTCTAGTTACTGAGTGGTGCTCTGGATAGTCTAATGTCATTCAGGCTAGTCTCCGGAACGCTCAGGATTGCCTCAGTTACCCTATATTTACAGTAAGCAATCTCCATAATCGAATGGCAACCCCTGTTTCTGCAGTTACAGTAGTTTGCAATCTGCAGTCTGCGTTTAACGCTGACATGCCAATTCAAATTAGCCCTTTAGAGCGTCTGATCACAAATCATAAATAATTAAAGATACATCTAAGCTCCAATTAATAAATTAGTGACCCAAAGCATCTCCACGTCTGTTTATAAGACTTCATCAAACTACTATTCATACGATACGTACATGTACATATACGGTAACATTTCAACTATGCTGTCAAGTTTGCTCGCTGTCAAATCAAGCAACAACTAAATGACAATTAAATTTACATGTACATATGTCAACTAAGAAAAGAGATAAAACTGGTCACGAATGGCTCACCCGAATGCCTTTGGTACTGAGCTCAGAAAATTTCCCTCTTCGACTTCATTTTGTAATTCCTTCAACTCCTTTTTGAGATCTTCTTCTAAGGATTTGACTTTCTCTGACAACGAAACTTCATAAATTCCATCCATGTTCTTATAAAAGTCACCAAAAGGCTGTAGAATTGGTCTTGTGTTCTAGAAGTCAATTACGACTCCATTCCGAACCTGGACTCTTCTTTTGTTTTGGGCGCCATATTCAATTTTCCCTGGTAACCAACTCGAACGCCGAACGATTAGAACCTCGTTCTCCTGCCGGAAGTAAAATCAAAGGAGCCGAAAGTATTAGTTTTGTTCGTACTCAGTTTCTCTCCGCCAGTGAGTAGACCAACATGGACGCCATTTGCTGGAGTTGAGTTGAGCAAAATTTAGGTACGTTTTATCGTAATTGGATTACTTTTGTTCTCTTTTGAGCCAAGTAGGCAATTGAAGCACCCACCAAATTTCGTTACAAGTCTTTTAGGCGGGGATGACCATGTAGCGAAGTGGTAAACCGTTCAAACACGCTTGAAGCGTGATTTGGAAGAAAGGGGTCGTTGGTTCGAATCCTGGTCGGCACTTGGGCTTCGAGCGAAATATTTTATTTCTCTCGTTAAAACTTTTTTTTATGCACTTTCGCAATAATTCATCTCATTTTAAGTCGTAAAACTGAATTTATTGTAAGAGTTCGAAGCATCGTTCTTGGTAATTAAGACTCTCCGAGAAATCAACGAGTTGAAACTTAATTCAAGTCAAACAAGATTTTGGAATACTCCTCCATCCGTTTAGTTTCACGAAAGACAAACACCTACTTTTGTTCGATGTCAAATTATTAAATTCACTACTATTTAGCTGGAATAGAAACCCTGTTTGTACTCGTATAAACGAGCCATGTGCTGCACATGGTTCCGCCATTTTGTTTCTATTTGTTTTGAAACCGGCTAAAGACTAATTTTTACTTGTACTTGGGTGGGCTTGCTGCTACTCGTCATAATTCTCGAGTTTAATAGTGTAATGCATGCTCCGTATCATATCCCTGCACACGAAATTTCCGACAGTTCTTTTCGCTGTAATATATTTTTAGATGTCCTGTTCTTGTGATGTCACTTGCGGCAGATTCTGATGACCTACCAATAAATCTGAATTTGGCTGAGCTAAAAGAACAACTTGCACAAAATGGAACAGTTATATGTCCTGTGCAAGGCTGTAATCAAGACTTCAAATCTTTCTGGGGGCTAAAATATCACTTGAGACGGGCAAACCACCAAGACGTGGCAGAAGGGAAGTTTAAATGTGAAAAGTGCAATCGGTTGTTTCAGTCGCGGGTTAATTTGCGACAACACAGAATAGCTGACCATTCAGGTAGTGAGGGAGGAAGTCCACTGCCCAGTCCATTGTCATCTCCAAGGTAAACTGCATTCAGCCCTATTTGCCTTCTTTTACAGTACTACAGGAAATAAGTAGGTTGGTACAAAAATTAATGTGGACCCCCACCCCCTCCCCCACCCCCGATCTGGATTCACCTCCTGGACCCCAAAAGGGAATCCAAAAGGGGGTCCAGAAGAGGAGAGGGTCCAATTTTTTTGTACCGACCAACAATAAAACTTGTTCTAATTAAAAGTGCAATATAACTAAATAAAAGTTAGCATTTCGTCAAGTGATAGGTGTTGGTTAATTTTGTTTCTACACGTATCAACACACATCTGATACAGAAGGTTACAAGCAAAGGTTGTTGAATGATAACTCATTTATCTAAACATCACTTCTGTACAATTGATTATCCCCACTTAGTCTACACCCATTGATTTAACAACAGATGACGAAAAGTGGTTTTGGTCTCACCAGCTCTACATCTATATAATAGTTATAAATGTGTCTCATATATGTTATACATAAAATTAAAAATTTTTTTTTTTTTAAATTACCTCAATACAGACACTTTCCTACACTCCATGTGCATGTAGTGAGCTAAAAGAGTTTAAATCTAGAAAATATGGCAAATAATATTGTGGTAGATTTTGACTTAAGTAGGCCAGGTTAAAGCCCTGGCTAGGGTCAATGTTTTGAGTCTGCTGAACACAGGGAAGTTACTTTAGTGTTACAGTCTCTCTTTTTGGGCTGGAAGATAAGTTCATGTACCAGCTACTGTAACAATGCTAAGGTGTGTAATGTGATAAGTATTCATGCCTGGAGAGGGTTTGGTAGGGGGTTATTTGTTGAGGTTTATTGTTGGGCAAAAAAGGACAAGCATGACATCATGACATCACTGAATTGGTCCATTAATAATAATAATAATAATAATAATAATAATAATAATAATAATAATAATAATAATTTATTTCTAGCGCATTACATTAAAAAATCTCAATGTTCTTACAGAATAAAAATGAGAAAAACGATAACGAAACCAATATAAGGAAAATATATTAAATTACAATGGACGATAAAATACTAAAATTCATCATAAGATACTAAAATTCGTTATAGAAATACTAAAGATCATTATTAAACAAAAACGTTTTAAGCTTAGTTTTAAACGTATCCACTGATGGGGCACTTCTCACATCAAGTGGGAGGCTATTCCACAGTGCTGGCGCACAAGATGAAAAAGCGCGTCCCCCCTAGGTCTTTGTCCTAAACACCGGTATGTGCAGTCGCAGGTGATCATTATTATTTCATTACTTTTGTTTATGTATATGTACATGCAGGTCAAGGGAAAACGATTCATTCCACTTTTCCTCTGCACACTCAACAAACCAAAAGACAGGGCAAATTTCGACAGAAACTTCTTGTACTGAAGTGAATGAGAATTCAGCTACTAATGGAGCAAAGGCAAGCGAAAGTGAAGTCAATCAAACTCAGGCAGCAGTTGTTACAAAGAGAAAGAGGGGCAGACCAAGAAGGGCTGACCAAATTAAACATTCTCCCTCGGCTGTGAATGGCCAAGGGGAAGTCATCAGTGGGACTTTATCTCTATCTCAACCAGTTATTAACACTGCTGACAATCCTGAAGGTAGAAAACTGGACAATGCAAGCTCAGATAGTACCGTCACTCCAAGGAGGGCTTCCACAAGAGTGCGTACTCCACGGATAAATTTAAATTTGTATGATGATACAGAAGAAAACAAAAGAAAACATAAAAGAGTGAAAAGGAATACTCCTAAGAAGAGAGGGAGGAAACCAAAAATTGTCTCTGATGAAAATGCTATTGATGACTCCGTGAGAGATTCCGATTGTGAGAAAACACATGGGAAGAAACCTGAGAAAAAGCCAAATAGCGATACAGCTGGGAATGAATGTGTCATAGGAAGAGGAACTAAAGAAAATGTGGATGGCAACAGTGATAATGTTGATGATGAAAATAGCAATGTCCATGATGATAATGCGGCAAATGTTGATAATGAGGATGATGATGACGATGAAGATGGCAATGTCAAGGATGATGGTAATGGTATGATTTGGTGCATACATTGTATATTCCTTCCTGTCTGAATACAAATGGTACTTTCCAGTAAACTGTTAGCTGAAGACAATCTAATGATTTGAGGGCTTGAAGGGGGGAGGGGAGGTAATCAGTTACAATACTCCTAGCCAACTCTTCCTGCAAAAATCAGTGTTAATTTTTTAATATATGGATTTAGCCAAGCCTAAAAGCAGAGCTCCTGGGCTGGGATGTCCAGAGCCTGCTTAAGCTAATCCAGGATAAGTGAAAATTTTCATTGAGTTCTTGTAGCTTTTTTAACTAGGCAAGGACTGGTGTCACACAGGGTCATGCATTTCACACTCTTTTATTTGACCTTTATGGTTAACCTATTTGTATATAGATGATGATGATGGAAAGGCAGTCATAAAGGAGAGAAGAAAACCTTGGAGAAAGGTCTTTGTTTTTTTTATTTATAGAATTAAAGAAGTCATGTAAGTGTAAAAATGTTCCTCACAATAATATATTAGAGTGATGTCAGGGATTAAGTCAGTGTTTTGAACAAGATTTGAGGTACAGAAGCCATCAGATGGCATTGAGAGAGGCCTGCAACACAGGGTTGTCAAAAGAAGCCGGCAAACAGTGCATTTCACTGGCTGTTTTAAAAAACTGCACCAGCTAAGTACTGTGAATGGAGGCCTAAGCATGATATTGGAGAAATAAAATGAAAGTTAAATTGTTCACTTAATAATTAATTTTTTGTTTGAGCCGAATTGGATTGAGGGAATTAAAAAAAAAATGTTACATGACATGAAGTGTATGACCTGAATTGAAACTGATTTAAAGATTGAGTTGTGAAATGTTCTATGCCTCGGCGCATCATTTTACAAGTGCGCAAAATGTTCACAGAAAAAAGTATCTTTAATAGTATGGTAAGATGTGTTGTTTTTAGGGGGATGGAATAGAAGGGGAGTGCCAGAGGGCACTTATACTTGGGAAGGCAAATGTTTGGAAGGAGATGAATATTAGCATTATCAACAAACGCATTTTCTAAATATTACTTGACTGTCTAATTACATGTATTAATAGATCGTATTACAGTGTGATCGTCTGGGTGAGGGTACAGTTCTGAAATGAACTGTTGTTGGTGACTGAATTTTTACTATCAGATTTAATTTTAAATATCGGACAAACCCAAACATTTCTTTCGATAAATTAAATGGTTTATGCAATAACGTTTAATTAGAATTGTTCAGTAATTAATTTTAAGCCTCGACAAACAACGTGTATGAAATTAGAGGACGTACATGTACATCTAGGTGAGAAGTGTGATCTGAGGTGTTTGCTTGACAATAATTATTGTATGTAATAAAATTTAATTATAATTGTTCAGTAATTGATTTTAAGCCTCGACAAACAACGTGTATGAAATCAGAGGGCATACATCTAGATGTTGGTTATGATTATATGAGAAGTGTTATCTGAGCTGGTTGTTTGACAATTTTGTTTTGTTTTGTTTTGTTTTATTCCAACAGAGAAAAGCTGTGGTTTCAGAGGTAGGCTGACATTCTGATCTGTATGCATGATTATGTGCCTAAGTATTAGTCTGACCTTGAAAATGGCAATAGCTATAAATTTAATATAGCTACAGAACCATACCAGAAATGATTTTAATCAAATATATAAAAAGTCAGTGTTTGCTTGTCAAAAAATGCTCTCCTCCCAGGCAAGATGTGTCAGACTGGTGAAACCTTTAATTAACGTAATGAAAGTTCATTTTTTGGGTGTTGACCACCCAGTTACAGTAGTTCAGTCTCTTAACCCTAATAGCATGCCATTAACACCAGCATGACATTTGTGTGGTGGCCTCACAGTGCATTCCTGTTCAAAGGAATTTATTGTTAGCTTTTTCCACATTCTGGCGACTTGATAATTGGGGCCAAAGCAAATTAAACTCATCACAAATAGATGAGCTTGGGAACTGGTGCCTGCAAGGTTAGCGGGGAGCAGAAGCCGTATGCGGAAGGGGAGGTATCCATGGCAACCCTGGAAGTGGGAAACACCCCCAAAAGCAGCCGCTAACTGGCACCGTCACACTGATTGAATCAGTGGAAACAACTTACCTGACCCATACTTACTTAGAGACCAGCAACCAATAGCAACCAAAGATTCGCCAAAGTACAAAGCAAATGTTCCGCAACGATCAGCTGGCAGCACAATACGTGCAATGCAATGTGAGACAACAGCCCTGCAAATCTCCAAAGGGCCGTCCCGCAAGTCACATACCGGAAAAGGGGAAACCGCTGACTGCATTGGTTTGAGTCTAACTTTGCCTAAATCATATTTAGCCACATAAAAAAATAAAAAGTGCAATGAGGCAGTGGATGGTGGCCAGGGCGACCATTCCAAACGCCATCAATTTTTGCTCTTGCCCCAATTTTTGCACAACCAGAATGTGGAAAATGCTTGTTGCTCGTTCTCCTACTTCTATGGAATGCTTGCCACACAGTCCAGCTATAAACTTCTGATTGAATAAACTCCTGGTAGGCAAACTTAACTTAAGGATAAAACTAGACTTCTGAGATGCAGATTGCAATTTCTGGGATTGTGTTGTTCCAGAAAATACACCCCATCCCACAGAGGTTTTTTTTTTTTGTTTTGTTTTGACCTGTACATCCCTTCCGACATTCCAGTGTTGGTTGATACTTTCCTTCAAAAATGCTGACTTTTGAGACTCCTTCCCCCCTGGAAATTTCCAGTAAACCTCCTTGGGGTGGGTATGGGTGGTTTTTGGGACCACAAAATCACTAAAAAAAATAATAAAGGGTCAATATTAATAAATTTAACTTCTAGCATTATGCTGTAGTGTGTGGGTGGAAGACATTTCCTGCCATGTTACAGCGATTAGTAAATTATTATAATGATAGCCTGAGTCAGGCTATAACATAAACAAGACAAGTCCAAGGATGGTTAAGTTAATATTGCTGAATACCAAGTTTTGTTTTTATTATTACATGTATAATGCAGAAAGGCTGTTACAATAGTTATATCAGTTCAACTCCCTAGTCATAGTCCTGTGGCTAGACAATAACAAGTGCACAGCTTATATATCAAGGCATTGAACAGGCATTGACATAACATGATGTAATCAAACAAATCAAAAAGATTATTAATAGTTTTGTTTGTTGCAAGTAATAATTCAGAATTGTTTAGACCAAAAAAAAATTAAATTGTGTAAAACAGATAATTAATTTTTCAGGCAGCTAGGCTTAAGAGGCTTGTGAAATGGGGAAAGACATTGATTTGTCAGAACGAAGGATGTAGGGCAAAGTTTACCACAGCCGCTGGATACTTAGCACATCAGAAAATCTGTGGAGTGAAAGAGGAAGACAGAGAAAAGTTTACATGCGAGATATGCGAAAAAGTATATATGTCTTCTATGGGGCTTAAATATCACATGCAAGCCAAGCACACTGAGGTAAATATCATCATTAAATAACCTGAATCTACATGAACCAGAAAATCACTGGGTTTATTTGGATGTGTACTTGAAAAGGGTTTTGGCTGAGGTCATTGTGTATAACATGGAGGACCTTTATCTTAGTTATGGGTAAATGGTGTCAGGTATTATCGAAACTTCCCTTAATTAGAGGCCCCCCTAAGTGCAATTTGAATAGAGTGCCCTTCATCACTCAGGAAAGTCCCCACTTCACCTTAGTATTTAGCCCTTATTAACCGAGCAGGAGGTCTGTATGGGAGAATCTTGACTGCGGTCATGAGTACAGACTGAACGCAGTGAGGTCTGTACACACGACCCACGTGAAGGTTCTCCCATACAGACCGACTAAGCTCGGTTAATAAGATGTTTATTATATGGCAGATCTAGACAAGAACAATTTAATTCATTTAAGTTACTGGTTTTTAGGTAACTGACATTTTGCTTGTGAACAGCGATGAGCTGAACTTAATTNCCCCCCCCCCCCCCCCCCCCCCTCTTCAAATGAGTGCAATTTGAATTGAGTACGCCGCTAGGGAAGTCCCACTCCACCTCAAATTCACACTTAGTTTTGTTTAAAATAAAAGAAATAACTTGTAGTTAAGTTGGTTCAAACCTGAGTAGTTGGCATGACGAGTATGTTCTCAAATAAGTACCACAGGGACCATTGAGATTTTAATTTGTTTTTTTTTTTTAGTTATTTTAATAGTGAGGAATAAGACTGGTGTAAATTTTAATTAGTGTTACCCTTGCATTCTGATGAAAGCTGTCCATTCTGAGGCTATCTAGAGTGTTAATGAGGTAAACCTGAGTGTCAACTAATATTAGACTAACCTGAATGCAATACTATCTGGACTAACCTGAATGAAATATGATTTTGTTTACACGTGTAGAGTGAGACAGTTGACAGCTGCAATAATTCAGAAGATAAGAACAAGGTATAGCTTCATGTGATGTGAAAATATTATGATCCTGTTCAGGGGTAAAATCAGGGATCTAGATTAAAGCCAAGAGCTGGGTAAAAAACCTGACTGTGGCATAAATATTATTTTACTGTTTATGAGAGCTGGGAAATGTGGGAATTCTGAGGCAAGACTTTTACCCTTCCTCATGTATTGTGCAGAAATCTCTGTCTGTTTCAGATCTTATGTAAATTATACTTTTAAGAAACCCTTCCTGAAAAATGTGAGGCTCATTTAAACTTTCTGGAATGTAGAAGCCGAGGTCATAGACCATGCAATCCAAGTGGCAGATGGTACCCTGAAAATCTGGAGCCCAAGTTATTTTTCCCCCATTATCTTGCAGTCTCACGAGCCTTTATTTGACTTTTTTGTGTTTCATTCTGTCTTGGATTGTAAAACCATTTTAAGTCTGAGTCTCAGATTTTCAGATGGGATCTCTGTCAGACAGTCTAATGGCCATTCTCTGATTTTACAATAATTATTGATTACTCCGAGTTCCTTTCTCAAGTCCTGTACTATCATTTCTAATTGCAATGAAGAGAAAAATTGTTGATTTTTACTTTGTTATTAACTTAACCCTGTTTAGAACATCACACATCTTTTTTGACAAAATAAATGATCCAGTACATTTGAAATTGATACTCTGGCCATCTGTTTATTCAATACTCAAGCATGATATTCTATTATAACACTTGCTTATAATATAGGAAGAGAATGAACCCGAAATTCTATCAGATGGAAGAACAAGACGAAAGGCAGCTTCCAGGTACATGTGTATTCAATAGATAATTGGTTTACTTTTCACAAGAAAAATGTATAATGAAGTTCAAAAAGTAACCTCTTCCGATTGCCTCTTAATAGATGTTGCAAAATTTAAATACATTAGATATTATCACAGTGATTTTGTTGGTTAAAACATTGCTGAATAATTGACTGAGTACATGTACCTTCATTTGTATATGAAATAATTTCAGAAAACCAAGAGGAATTGTTGATGGAATGAGAAAAATGTAATTAGTTACCAGACAGGAAGCCTGACAGACTTTGCAAAGATTCGGCCTGGCCTTATTAATTTGACATAACAACTTTGGGCATGCGCATTTCATTGTAACACGACTGTTGTCAGTAGCTTCAGTGCACTTCTTTAACGAAAAGAGAGCATTATTTCTAGGTTTCCAGCAATGAAAAGATGTTTTGGATGTTGAATTCCTAGGTCATGCTTGTTGTAGTGTTTAATATGCATTGGCACTGATGGCTGATCTGGCTTTCCTCAACACTATAGCCCAGCGTCAACTCTACGTCAGAGAAATGTGAAAACGCAACGTTATTTCTACGGGTAGGCCTACCATCCGCACCAATCCGTCACGAAAACAGAGCTTTCTGAAAAAGCTCTTCTAAAGACTGGAATTTGAAAACATAGGCTTTGCGTTTTATAAGTGTTTGGATGGCAAACACTTTGAAAATGGAGCTTTCGAAAACGATGATTTGTCGATCAAGTGATTTCTCTGCCCGAGGTTTCATCCTTGAACACAAATCCAAAATGACCGGTGATTGTTGAGTTTTTACTGAAATTTCTCCGGCGTACGCGTAGACAGAAAACACTTTATATGTTTTCAGAGTGAAAACGCCGTTTTCAAATTTCTCCGGCGTAGTTTAGACGGGGCCTATGACTATGATCAGTAATATTAGCTTTCTTATCTCGTTTGTTATTGCAGGGCAATGTCAAAAGTTCAAAAACTAGTGACAGAGCAAAATCTTCAAGAAGTGGATCATTCTAGAGGGATTGTGAAGAAAGAGTTTCTGGACCAGCTAATTGTTAAAATCAAAGGCAGAGACATATCCAAAGAAGAGGAACAATGGACTGAAGCACTGGAGACAGAGACTAGTGTAATGTGTCCCAGTAAGGTAATCTGTGAACGTTTGTTTCCACTTCCTTGGAATATGTAGCTCCAGGAAATATCCATACCCCTCCCACGAAGGAATTTTTTTGGATTGAACCCCACACCCACACCCACTATGTGGAAATTCCAGTTTGGGTTCCTAAGTGGCTTTTGAGACCTCCCTCTCCCTTGGAGCTTCTGATTACCCTTTCTTACCGTACCTATGTTTGCAATTAGCCAATCAGAAGCCGGGTCTAGTGTTCTGGTATCCTCAGATATCATGTCACTGACCTGATGTGGTTACGATACAATGGAAACTTGGTCGAATTGGAGTACGGTAAATATCTAATCTTACCGTTTTTGGTACGCTTCTGTTAACTATTTCCTTTGCCTAAGGGGCTCGGGAAATTGTAGGAATTTTGACAAAATGCGCGTGAAATTGTTTCCGCGTCGAACTCCTCGCCGTTTGCTGACCCATATTTAATTTAGTGTCATTTCAATCAATCTACCAAGGAGCGAACGTTCTCGCATTTTTGTCTTTCTTTAAAGGGGTGCTCAGAAACATTTCAGTCGTTTGAGAACATTAAAGCTCATTTGAAATCTTGTGAGAAGGCTGTTTCCTACAAGTGTCTGGCCTGTGGCAAGGTTTATCTGTCCATAATGCTCCTACACAATCACATTAACTTTCGACATGTTGGATACAAGGTAACCATTTAGTGAGTTATGCAATTAAAATTTATTTATCTTTCTCTTCTTTTCTTTTTTGTTTGTTTGCTTTTTAAAATTGATGTTTAATACATAAACAATGCTTACAAGTACACGACAAACTACAATTCTGGCCAAAAGTCCTAGGGACAATTGACAAAAAGCCAACTGGTGACGCATTATTTTGAAGTGGAAAGTAATAATTCAGTCTCGGAAACCACATCTAGTATGCAATACCTACTTGTTCTATGTAATCTATATGTTTGTTGACTTCTTGCCGTCAGCTTCCGAAAAGTTAGGACCCCTTCCCCGAACGTAACACACATGAAAGTAACATTTTATAATGTTTTGTTACGAATTTCCATCTTTTATTTTGGAAGAAGAGTTTAGTCGCATCAACTTTACAAAACGGTTTATGCTCCCCGAAAGTTACGACCCCCCCATAAGCTGCTAATTCCGAAAGTTACAAGAGTCGCTACTTTGGGGACGTTTTAGTGGTGTTAGTTTTCGGCATCCTGTTACTAGCATACTATAACCAGTTTATGAGCTTGTCAGAGCATCTTTTGGATCTACACCAACCAGATTGCTTTAGAGAAGCAGTTACATAGAAAGCCCGTGACAAGTTGCTTTGTGCTTAAAGGAGCTACGTCACGGTTTGTACATCTTAAAAAGTTTCGCCTAAGTTAATCCGTGTCAATCTTCTCCATTCTTAACCGTCCTTGTTTCTTTATGGGGTATTATTATCTCTTTAGTGGTTTTCTTTGTCAGCAAACTATTATTTTCAGTTTCGTGGCCAAAATAACTATGCTCCTTTAATTATCGAATTTCAATTCTAAACTTGCAGCCTAAAGGGAAGGAGGTGTCCGACAGCAGTGACGCGGACTATGTAGTTGTCAGCTCAGGAGACAGTGCAGAAGAGAGCGACAATGTCGAAATTGAGGAGATTGAAGAAAGCGGAAGTGACTTAAACGAAGATGGGGAGAATTGCTCGGAAGAAATCGTTGTTTGGGATGATAAGAGAAAAAAGTTCAAACGACCAGGAATGCCGAAAGCGTTTCGAAGGTCTCAATCAGGTCCTACCTCAGCTGTGAAATTTGGACCCATTGGGTCAGCAGATTCCGAAAGCTACGAAACCACAGAAAACTGGTAAATATAGCCTTGGTGGTTAATATTTGTTACTAGTAATACGAGGTAACTATAACAATCAAACACTAGTATTTCTGTAAGTAACATACAAAACACCAGACAATATGTTTCATCGCATTCTCAGCCACTCTATTTTGTACGGCATGGTACAATATCATTACGTAACATTTTTTCGTGGTGTACCCTGGAATAACCCACTTGTCACTTCTATTTTCTCCGTAAACATACATGTACTCTCCTCAATTTCGGCGCATACAGTCGAATCTCCTGTAAGCGACCTCCCAAAATGTCAAGCCTAGGTGGTCGCTTACGGGAGGTGTTCGCTTACGAGAGCTTAGACCATATTATGTCAAAATTTTGCCTCATTAGCATATGATAACTGCAAAGACTTGCCCAATGTTAACGTTTTATATTTTTTATTGATGTCAAAAGTCAATTTCGAGAGAAAATATTGTTCTTGCCATGAGAAATATCCGTCTCTTGTACTACCCAGTATTGCGCTAATGTTACAACAATTTATTATCTAATTTCCGCTTTAATATTTGTCAAGTGGTCGCTTATAGGAGGTTAAAAACAAAAGAAAATTTCAAACTTTTAGCTCTAAAAGTGGTCGCGGTTGTTCAGCGAGGTGGTCGCTTACAGGAGGTTCCAAATATAGTGACTTGTCTCGGAAACTTTTGGTATTTTGGAAAACTGGTCGCTGACGAGAGGTGGTCGCAACCGGAGGTTCGACTGATTGGGAGAATGCAAGTGACTGGGTTATTATGGTATACCACTCGAAAACGTTACATAACTTATTTCCTTTCACTTTCCACCATATCTAATTATAATTATTTATATAATTATATTTCTATAATTATTTTCCAAAGACGTTTGCACTATTCCTCACTCAATTTTTTGTTTAACTCTGGTACCTGACTTGTGAAATATTCCAACACTTTAGAATTCTGTTTTTGAAGGAGTGTGTTTAGGTTGTGTTTATTTTTCATGTTTCCACTGCAGGCGCAAACAACAGTTTAAACGCAAAGATCTGTTTCCTAACTTCATACCATCTTCCTCTTTTTGGTCTCGCGTTGACCACAGGTGAGTCATGTCAGTCATACAACAAAAACGGTTTTGTTTTTATTATTAGGGGACTTAAGATTTGAGTACGAGATCCTAGTTTACAGGTTTCACATTATCCCGTTGAGTCTGTGACCGTGTTTCGATACAGTACCTGATCTTAATAAGCATAGGTTTTGTAGGATTTTATCTCTCCGTTTTCTCCTTAGTTTTAGTTTCGATTGAGAAGATATATCAAACACTCAAGACAGTCCTTACAGTGTTTGACCACATTTCCAAACACCTTCGAAGTTCGTCAAAAATGCTCCGCTACGCGTCGTATTTTCAACTCTCTTCTCGGTGTTTGAAAATGTGGTCAAACACAGTCTTTCGTGTTTGATATATTACATCTCATCCCATGAGCTACCCTCTCTACCTAAAACCAACATGAAGAGCGAGGACTCGGCAAACGCCACTGGACTGAAATCCAAAACTGGTGCTCGTACTCAATCTCGTGCTCATAGTCCAATCAAAAGGTTCCGTTTTATTGCAATAAATAGCTTTCTCTTTCATCTTTGTTATCGTCTATCAGCCAGCTGTAATAGCAGGCTATTCCAGATGAAGAAACGATTCAAATTCCACCGTGGGACATCCTCTACATAAGGTGTTTCATGTATGGCTTGCAGGCGGATGGGTTTCTCTCGAGAAGGAAGACAAAGCCCTCTAGTAAAATAATTTCTACAAATCTGAGACGGAAAAACCCTTACGATAAACCCATTCTCTCCTCCTCCTCCCCCGCCCCCCACCCCCCGTATCTTAATATGAACCCACGGGTCGCGTCCATATTATAGAAAGATAAAACTTTTTTTTTATGATTATATGTGCTGCATTGTATAGCTTGTTAAATATTCAAAGACTAGTGAAGTACATTTAATAACTACATGTGCATTTTCAGGTAGTACTTGTTTCTACTTCATATTCTTCGTATTCGAGAAGGCTATTATGTACAAGATTGAAACGCAATTGGGCAGTTCCAGAAAATAACCATACTCCCCCCACAGAAGGGTTTGGATTTTTCTTGGGGGCGGGGGACTCCCCAAGATTAAAAAAAATTAAGAAATGTATGAACCTTAATTGGAATTTCTAGAGGGGTCGGGGGTGGGGGGAGGGGAGGTCATAGAAAAAATCCTTTCCATGGAGGAGTTATGCATATTTGCTGGACCTACACAGTGATAATTTCCTCTTTTCTGTTTCAGTGAGATTGAGCAGTATTTGCCGGAAGCGACTATATCACCGAGGTTTACAATAAGACGAAAAGGCAAAAATCACAACACTAAACAGGATATGCAGTTACCGTTGTTTGAAAGCACGTCCAAGGAAGAAAGTAAGTTACTTCGTGAATCTACTTGTTGACCATTGTTTACCATACTTCGTTTAGAAAAGTAAAATTNCAGACGAAAAGCTAACACACGTCAATACGCCAAGTTTGCTGTGGTAGTTGAATTTCCCTTTATCAATTTCAAATTGAGAAGCACCTAAGTCTGTCTCACTTGGTTGCTGATGCACCGCAACAGTTTCTTTCGAAACTACATTAAGTCACGTTGAACTTCTCCAGTGTTATTAATTGATTAGTGGAGGACATTTATATGAAGCCTTTTTCATGATTGGTTAAATTGAGAAAGGGATCGACCGCTGCCTTTCTAATTTCACACGAAACAATGGATGCCACTGGCAAAGCTTTGTATGATTTTACAAATAGATGCACATGCTAGCTTTTCTGATGGCAGCGGTGGAAGACAAACTTTAAAAGGAAACTTTGTTAGCCCCAGTTCAAGTTCATTTCAGACGCCGAACCTAATACGTTGAATTAAGTACATGAAAAGTTCGGACTCTGAATCAGTTAAGAACGGCTATTTGAATTTGGAATGGCTCAGCCGTTCTTCCCGTCTAGCTCAGCTGGGAATTTCGGCTTTGGAACGGCTTTGATTCAGACGTCGAACTTTCCATGCGGCGAATCTAATGCATATATTATTATAACGTATATTACAAGCAGTTTCTCTATTCTGAAGTGTTTTGGTTCAAACTAAATTGAGTTCTGCAAATTAAGTTCGACGTCTGAATCATCAAGCATATACTTTTGATAATTTGGGTTGGTCCGAACTCGAATTAAGTTCTGCTTATGAAAAGTTTGGCGTCTGAACTGGGCCTTAGTAGGAAGACGAAGCATTCTGGTTTCAGAATGTCGTGACTTGTGATTCCAAGGAATCAATGCTCTTATTCAGCATAATTGTTTAAAAACCTCCCAATCTGTTTCCTCCATTAGGTCAGGCTCAAAACCAACATTGGTGCTTGGTATTGCACACGACTACGGTGCAATATGGGACATTAGCTGGTGTCCATCAGGGACTTGGGAGCCTGCCTCGTCCATGAAAAACCAAGTATGTACCTGAACCTCCGTAAATAAAATAAAACAGCACAACAATGATATAACGAAGTCTGTTAGGTCAATTATCCACTCAGAAATAACAATCGAATCTTGAATCGAATCGTGAAACTGGGCATTTTGTGAAGACACTGGCCCTTTCCCTATAACAAACCCTTATGTGATAGTTGAACGAACCATTAGTAACACACACCGAAATGTTTTTGACTATGAGATACAGTACAAAGGATTAAATGCACTTCTTGCTCGCTAAGGACTATGTTGGGACAATATTTTCACACTGCTTCAGAAAGGGGAAAACGTTATACTCAAGTTCCTCACTTCGAATCTAAGTAAAGAGGCCAAATTCTGGATGGCCACTACGATTTCTTTTGCAGATACCATTTGAGACCAGAGCTGTGTGGTCAGTTTTAAAGGTGACTAAAAGTCTACAGGAAAAGTTAGAGGCAAATGCATTGAAAACAAAATCTTACCATACTGGGTTTTTTGCCCTCAGTTACACATTATGGGAGGTTGGAAATAAACAAATACATGTACTGCAAATAGAACATAAACTAGTAAGAATCCCAACTGATGGGATGCTGACCAGTTGCCTTTTTTACACAACGCGGTCGAGGAGATGGGACCACCAGATTTCAATCCCAGTGCAGTTTATTTTATTATGAATATTGTTTTTTATTTATTTATTTATTTTTTTATTAGACAGATGTTCTTCCACGTCTTGGGGTAATGGCTTTAGCTTGTGGTGATGGTTTGGTTCGTATTTTGAGGTACAACTTCTTATCCATATGTAATTTGATCAACGTTTGTAAAAGATACTTGAATACACCTGATCTACGAGAAATTGCATATAAAGGTGAAGGATGTCTGGAATTCAGTTTGGGCAAACGTTTCCCAGTAGACCAAGTTCGTATTCTCGGTATTGGACTGGAACTAGCTTGGAATGGAGGCTCATGCGGAGGAATGTCATTAAAAAGAGATTAATGTCATTTGCATTTGAAAACACTCCCCGCATTAGCCTCAGTTATAAGCTAGCTTCAGTCCAACACCGAAGATACGAATATGGCCTATTCGGAACATCCCCGTAGAAATGTACAAAGTGGTTCCAAGTTTACGGATGAGTGTTTGCATATGAATTAGGCTAACTTGGATGAACAGAACAAACATAGCGCACATAAGCAAAGGCGCAAGCATGGCCATTGTTTTAATTAGTTTATGTAATGCTTAATATCACATTTGAACCATTGACCTTACTTGTCTTAAGGGTATCTTGGACGTAGCTGGATACCAATCTCTTGTAGCTCTGTGGTTAGAGTCTCCGAGCGGTGCTCTTGATTCCACCCTCCTTACCCTCCTTACAAACTCGCTACAAGTCACTTACGACCAGGGGTTTCATTAAGGGCCGGGCACTGGGCAAATCCTCAGTAGGAAAAAAGATGGCGGCTGTTAAGGTTTACGTCCGCTAAGAATTATTGACAAATGTACCAGTCGCCATCTTTTTTCCTACGGGGGATTGACGACCGGCTGTGAGGACGCTGTTGCCTGCCTGGTTTGACCATCTAGAGGAAAATTATAAAGAATTTCAGTTCAAAACGTTTTGCCTGCCTGTGAAAACCACATGCCTTCTTGCTGGAAACGTTAATGGAACCCTTGCTAACGACATTTTATTTCTGTTGCAGTATTCCCTGGCCGTCAGCGTTACTCTCTGCTATGGGTTCCGCGGATTCAGACAAGCAGTCCCTTTATCCTCCTGGTAAAATATCGATAAATAAGAATGAAGTATATCTATCGTTACTTTTCAATTGCGGGATAATTTCCCTCCTTATCGTCTTTGTCGTCCTCTCTTATAGTGGATCGATCATTGCTCCACGCCCTCCATCAAACTAAGCTCTTATTGCTTGCGTGCATATTTTCTAATTATGTTAAGTTTCTGATTTTGACGATGCCATCCTGATGGCAGATGTTCGGTGAATGTAAAATTAGTACTTATTAAGGTCATTAAGACAGACAAACAGAGAGACGGACGGATTTCAACAGAGTTACAAAGACTTGAGAATGAGAAAATTCTCCCAAAATACTTTCCCAGTTGTTTCTACAGCACTCTCCGACACCCAGACACATGTTTCAATGTCTCTTAGAAAATATCTCGTGGGAAACGTGTCCATGTTTCTGTCAAACGTCAAGGCGCAGCCCAATCGCATGCTTTCTATAAGTGCATACTTTCTATAGGCACTTTACTAAGCGCTTCCATAAGCGCATTCTATAATCGCTTTCCGTAAGCGCATGCTTTGTCTAAGCCTTTGACTAATTCGTGTTGATATTCAGTTATAGTGAGTCCCACTCCTCATGCTGTGTTGATGCCATGTGCCTTGGGCGTGGCCTACAATGGGGAGAGTGGCCAAGCCTGGCGTGCCAAATGGTTCCCATGTGCCATTCATGAGAAGATTGCCACTGGCTTTTCTGATGGTGAGCGATGCTTGAAGATTACACTACTGTTAGTAAAATGACTCCAGCTTATAACCGGAAGTAAAATAATTTATGAAATACAATTCATTAAATATGTTTATAAAGCGACTTTTTTTCAAGTCACTGTAAATGAACATGCACTAGAGGAGATAAGACAGAGGCACAAATGGGTTGCAAAGAATGCTTTGGACACCTTTTTGACTTTGAACATGTCTATCCGGCTTGTCACCTACTTATATATATAGTGAGGACGCCCACAGCACAAGCATAAGCACGTAGGCATGCGCAGAATGGAAAATTGCCGTATTTTCGGTTCCATGCCTACTTGATACAGTAAAAAAAGGTGGCAGACGTATGCTATCATTATGCTTACAGCAACGCGTTCTCACTTGACATAAGCAGAAGCAGAAGAACAAGAAGAACAAAACTCTTTTTTGCTCTGCTTGTGCCTCTGCTTGTGTTGTGGGCATTATCACTACCGTCATCCTTATGTCTGTACTTATGTCGAGGTGAAAACCAGGCCATAATCCTCACATCGTTTTCCTTTTCAATCACGATCTCATATAAGGTTAATATTTTTTCTTTTCTCTTCTAACACACAAAGCTGCACCTTTTGCAGTTCTGTTTGTCACATACCACATGCTATGAGAAAAACCGGTTCTAAGCTTGTTGTTAGATGATGATACCAAGTCCTCAGTAAATTTCATATTAAAGTACATTATTTTTTCTTCTTAGGGACTGTAGCAATCTGGAATCTCTTGAAAGAGTCGCCATTGTTAATGGAAACAATGTATGGTGGAACACAGACTTTTCGTGAGTGGAAGACTTTCTGTTTATTTTCATTATAGGTCTAGCGGTCTTTGTATTCGCCCACTTTATTCTATTTATGATTGTGATTATGTTTAAAAAACTTGGATAAATAATTGTGGAAAACCCTTTCCTCGAAGTGTCGTGCTGCTGCATTACATGTAGATGAGGAAAACGTTTCCACATATTTTTTGGCCTTTACTGGTTTTTCGTATCTGGCGTAGCACAAGTTCTAATTCTTAGAACCAATAGCTGTAATGTGTGGAAATAAAATAGGTTACATGCATTTGCATCAGATGACTGACTGACGCATCTTCAATAAACTCTTTACATTGAACGTCTTGTGTGAGTGTACTCAGAATCATTTATCTTTAGTTTGTTTTGAAAGTGTGCTTTTGATGTCATTCTTCGCAGGTCTAGCTCCATTTCTTCACATTGCAGCCAATTCATCGGTCGTCAAAGACTTGGCCTGGTGCCCTCAATATCCAGAGTACCTTGTCACAGGTAGACCACGACATCGGAACTCTGTGCAGGCATTATGGTACAAGAGTGGTCAGGGGTTTAGACGTGTGACCTCTCGACCATAAGCCTATTAAGAATTTTAAGTTTAACACTCACGTCTTGTAGAAAACTATTCCCTATATGACCATATCGCTGAAGAGTAAATTTATCAACGTGTTTTTTTCCCAAAAAAGTGACGAGCAAGCTCTTTTGGCAGCTCTACGAGTTGCTGCCAAGAGAGTTTGGTCACTGGTTAGCAGATTGCAGTTGCTAGTAGACAAGCTCAGATAAGTTCTTATTCGAATACCCATCTAATCTGATTGAATCGCTTATAGGACCAACATTTTGTTAACCTGATGTGAACATTTGATTTGTTTTTCAGGTAGCTACGATCGATGGTACAAAATATGGAATCTCAATTCTCCTTTAAAGCCTGTAACTGTTCTAAAACGAGGTAATGAAACAAATTTTAGTATTACCTTTCTTCCATGCAAGGAGACGTTCATGTTTTCTAATAAGCCAAGGCGTCAAAATATTTCTGAAGTTTTTTTCATCTTACTTTTTTTTCTCCTCACGTGGGATGCGCAGTGATTCATTGCGATCCATGAGTGGAATGATCCAATCCGTTCCTCTTGTCTTTGTTTCTTATTGCGCCTGCTTAGATTTTGATTGGTTTTAAAAGCATCAAACACGACCGTAAGCCAATACCAAGAAGTTCGATTGACCCACATCTTTGGCAGGTAGCCATGCGTAATAGGCCACTTCCAAGTTCCCTTGTGCCTCTGTTTCAAAACGAGTCTAAGTGCGAAACAGTCTTACGAAAATGACTTTAATTTGCATGAAAATGAACCTGTACGTAGAACTCATTTTCGTATGAATGGTTTCACACTTTGACTTTTTTTGACACAGAGATAAAAGGCAACTCGGAAATAGTCAATTCAAGTCCGATAGTTAATTTTAGGACATCGTCGCGGAAACATTGTTCCCCAAAGCTGTTCCCTTGGCGCGGAAACGAGGAAACATTTGCGGCGGAAACAAGATATTTCTGCAGATAGCAGAAGTATTTTGCTTCTCTGAAGCAGAATTTGCTCCCATAAAACCTGTCTTTCGCTAAAATGGGAAAACATGAAGAGGAGCTATGATTTTTTTTATTTTTTATTTTTTTCATACGAGTTGGTCGTATGCAGACGTTACTTCTGTTTCGTTTGCGATGATCTTTATGTGCAACTATTTGCAGGAATATCCCATGAGCTTCACTGGTCTGTTGGGTTTGGTTCTATAGTGGGCTGTGAAGATGATTCTTTCCAGAATCTGAAGTATCCATGTGTTGCAAGGTTTTTTACTTTTGTAAGCACCAAAGATGAACGACTAACGAGCCTGGCGACCGCTCACAATAGTGCAATCTGGGTATGTATGTAGAGACTAATTTTAACTATGAACATTGGAATCTTGCAATGTCGGACTTATTTAATTTTTTGAAAGCTTACTTTCAAAGCAATAATTTTCGGACGAATTATTGAAGATTTCGGACAAACTTTTGGACACTGTATATAAATGCCATAAGGATGTTTATAAAGTAAATTTTAATAAAAGTCAACAAGATGGATAGAACTAAGAACTTTAACAAGTTAATTAGTTGCTCCGATTTTAATCCAAGAAGAACATTAAGCATAGAGCGGTTTTCTCATGAGTGTTGAAAGTAATTTGCGTTTGCTTTGGTGTTACAAGGTCACCTGCAGCCTTGCTGCAGGTGACCTTGTTTTGATAAAGACCTCACTGCTCTTGCTTTGTAAATCATGTTGTTCTTATGCTAACTAGTTGGTATTTAAATGAGAAAAGCAGTGAGGTCTGTATCAAAGCAAGGTCACCTCCAGCCTCACTTGCATTCATAGGCCAGGTAACTGCGCACACAACTGTAAAATGGCATATTAACAGAACTCGCGCCATTTTGTCATCTAATCAGAAGTAAAACCAAAACTAATTGTCACTCGCTCGTACACTTGCTTTGCGTTGACTACATGTAGTTGCTATGAATTTTCATTGGTTTACCGTATTGTGCAGAGTACGTAATAGGGAGTTTAAGAAATCCACGACGGCAACGGCAACGGCAACGGCAACGGCAACGGCAACG